TCATCATGTCTTATCATAACGAAATTAGGGAGGGAACTCTCGTATTTCCATGTCTGGCATGTGAGATATATGTATTAAACATGTTAACTTTGATTTTTTTTTTTTATTTTGTTAATTTTATTTAAGGTAAATTTTTTTTTCTTTAAACAGAGTGGAATATAGTTTAATGTCTATGCCTAATGAGAACTAGACCGGTGACGCCTAAGTCAAAGATTCAGAGAAGATTTGGCTCTCTATGTTTACCTTAATGTTTGGTAGTTATTCCCTTCTTCATTTTTTTTTGTGTATTTAAGACGCCAGTTTCTTTTGTGCCTAAAGTAGTAAAGTGTGGTCCTTAGATGAATCATGACTGTTGATTATCATTCTTTTAATAAGGTTTCGTACCAATATGTGTTTAGTTAATAGTAATTTTTTTATTAGATTTATCATTTTCAAAAAATAAAATTCTTAACATCTATTTTCTAATTTTATTTATAATTTCTACTAAAGTAATTAATTTCGACATTTCTTTAGTAATTGAATAAATTTCATAGAACCAAACACGTATCAAAATCTTATATGTTTGACTCATCGTGACTTCATCACGTGTTATGTTTTTATGAAAGCGTTCAACTTTAAATAAATTAATTCAATCTCTTAGAACAATTACTTTATACTAAATTATATTATAACTAAATCAATTATTTATATCTCTCCTTACTAAATTTTCACATTATGTATGCATTGCTCATCACGGTAAATTTGTAATTAGATATGCATGTATCTTTGGATTAAATCACTGAATCAATCGACGTTGTGATTCACAGATTCAAACTGCATATCTTTGCATTCATGCATAACGTTCTATCATTTAGAATTTTACTCTGAATGTTTAATTGTTTTTCCAAATATGAGTTTAGCATTTGAAATACTAGGACTCAGAACCCCCGCGATGTCGCGGGGGAATATATTTCAAAAATCATTTAAAAAAATATCAAACGAAAAAATCATAATGAATTGTAATAATTTTGAATTTTTTTAAAAATTCATTTTTTAAAATTTTTTTGAATTTTGAATTATTATTTTACAAAAATTATGATAAGGAAAACCCTCACAAGCATTTATTAAGTATATTAATATTAGAAAAATAATAATTTGTAACTAAAAAACTATTCCCAAGTGCAAAAAGCATAAACTAATAAACCAAATATTACAATGGTTTGATAAATAAGCCAAAACGTTCAACTTCAAATAAACCAAATGCTATTGTGTTAAATTAAATGGTAACAACAATTCATTTAAATATATTTTAGTATTTAAAAATATGACGAATTTATCCGAAAAACGCAACCGTAGATATCAAATATTCCAAAAACTGCAACGGTTCGTCAATTATACCAAATGTTGCAATAGTTCATCAAATATACTAAAGATAACAATGGTTCGTAACACAAAACCAAAAGTTGCAATAATTCGTCAAATAATCCAGTTGTTGAAACAGTTCAATTAAATAGTTACAATCTCATTTAAATACATTTTAGTAATTAAAAATTAAGAATTAAAATAATAATTTATGAAAAGTTACACCGAGAGACGCGGCGGTAGATAATTAAATGTTATACATATTTATAAAATAAACCAAAAATTGCAATTGTTCGTGAAATAAACTAAATATATAAACCAAAAGTTGCAATTGTTCGTAAAATAAACTAAATATTGCAATGATTCGAATAAGCGGTTTCAACTGTTTATGAAGAGTTACAATAAAAAACGCAACCGTAGAAAACATTCAGAATGCAATTTACAAAAAAAAAATATAACCGTAAAATATATATTTTAATTAATAAAAATATTAACGAAAAGTTGCGATAAAAAGACGCAACCGTTCAGATGTGCAAATGGTATTTATTAGATTGCTATTATATATAGATTAGACCATAAGGAAAACCGCTTTTTTTTTTTTTTTTGAATGTAATGTTAAATTATATTCAAAGAAAAAATATCGTTTTTACAACTCGTGCAACGTTCATCTTAAATCAAAGCATAATTGAAATCTGAAACTCAAAAGAATTTAAAGTCTTGATTCAAACCACTTTTGCAATCCTTTGTCGTATCTACCATCACCCAACAGTTTGATGGAAGAGAGTGTGTTCCGCTTCGCTTATGCTTTCATTTGATTTCTTAAAGTATTTATTTGTCGTTTCAAATGTTTATCGGATTATATATAGCCGCTTGCATTCCCTCAACACCACTGATTTCATCATTTCAAAAACTATATACGCTTCTTGAAGCAATCTGACATCATCTCCAATCCACTTTTGACCAACCGCGTAACCTGAAAACAAAATCCTCTGTTAATTAAACCCGAAACCGCAAACCTCGAGCCCGTAAAAAAAACCATTTCCAAAGACATCACCAATGCCTTTTGTTTAGGTGACAATCAGCAACAACGAACAGATGCAAGTTCTGTAGCTATTTTGAAATAATTTTCAAGATTGACTTCCCGTCAATGATCAAGGATGTTGTTTGTTTATCACTAAACAACTGAGAAAATTCCTCTGCCTTTAATATATTTAACCAAGCAAGAGAATGAGAATCCAGAGCTCCATATATAGTTTCTTGCTTTGGTTAAGACTTTTTAAACTTTTGGACGATGGACTCAATCCCACTCAATGCAGCATTGCAGCGCATGGCTAGGTTTGTTGCAGAAATCCTTGGCCTCGAGAGGGAGAGAACTAGAGAAGAGGCATTTGATTGATCAAACAAACATTACAATATTGGAAGGCAGGGCAAGCTAGGGAACAAACTTACAATATTGGAAGGCAGGGCAAGCTAAGGAACGCCTCTTGTAAACAAAATTGACTCGTAAGGTTCTAGGGATATATATATATATACCCAATGGTTTCTTGTATTAAATATTTTTGGTGTTCAATTTGTTGCATTTATAATATATCTCCACAGATGAAAAATTATTATTTCGTGTCAGATAACTATCTTAAGTTAGATAGATGGATTACCACCAATTCTTCTGGAAAAAAAAATATAGAAACTCTAACACATATAATGGAAACAAAACACAAAAATAAAGAAGAATAAGAAACGCTGTCTCTTCCAAAGTAGTAGTAGTAGTAGTAGTAGTAGTATATAGTAGATTAGTAGACTTTGTTTTAGATATGAGATATCAAACTTTGAAAATAAGTAACTTTTCTCTTGGACCAAGGATGTCGGAAAAAGAAATCGAGAGACTTTGTTAAGGAATCATATTTTACCAGACCGCGGGAATAGCGATGTGAGAGCAGGATCTTCTTATTCTTGCAAACCGCCACAGGTGTGGATGGCTCAACCATATCCTTCTGGCTCCAATCAAATTTATCGCGAATCTCAGTCCGAGAAGAAGGGCAGGAAACCAAGTCTATGCTAAAAAACTTTTCCCATGTGTCTTCTGATGGTTTCAACCTCCAAATATCTTGGATCATAGTAACGTTATCCCTTTTCGACATACACAAACTATTATCCAGAGTACACATGTCAATATGGTGAGGATCTGAACCAGCAATAGCCGGATTAATCTTAGACAGCAACCGGAATGTTTCGGAATAAATATCAAAAGCCACTACTTCGATTCTTTCATTATATGGCTCTGTAAACCAATACACTGACCCGTTTGCAGATGCTGGCTTTTGGTCATGATATATCCGATGACTTGGAGTGCAAGCCAAGTACCTCCAAGCATTTGCCCTAAAGTCAAAAACCTCGCACTTGGTAACTCCCTCGTTTGGACTTGATGCATCAGCAATGTATTTATCAGAATTATACAACCAAACTAATTTGTAGTCGGTGGCCTTCACGAATGCTAGATGAAAAATCGAGTTTATTTCTACATTCCACTCATGATCAGTGGGGTTAAACTTGTGGATCAAAATCTGAAACCTAGCCGAAGGAAGTAGGCGGAGCCACCGTGTAGCCGGATTAACTACATATACAGAATGTGATCTTGGTGAATGGATGCAGAAAAGGCCATCGCAGCTTTCAGATATGTAGATCCAGTGGAAGAACCCTTGAGGGAAATTGAGACGAGTAAAGGATAGAAGAGAAGCCGATTCCAGGCAGATAGTCCTAAAACCAATGTCTGTGAATGTACGAAGCCCGATTCCTCTTATTGGATCTTCTTCTGTGATGACCATGACTTTGGGATGATCCACGCATGCTTTCTTAGCGAGCTTCAAGTGTCTCTCTTCAAAACTGCGAGACTCGATCGTCGATCTCCATTGTTTTGAGAGAGACTTTAGTCGGATTAGTGCTTTCACCGGAAATCTCAAGAAGATTTCTTCTAGGACGTCGGTTGGTAGTGATGATGGAGCCTTTACTCGCTTCTCGTTTCTTCTTCTTCTTTTCCTTATTCTTCTTCTGTTTCTCTTTCTTTGTGATGATGATGCAATCTCCACTCGCTTCTCTGCCTCCTCCATCGTATATGTTAAACAGAAAATCTATTTCGTCGTATATATGAGCTAAATTTAATCCATATATAATAAGGATATCATACTTAATGCCCACGAGTCACGCTTGGAAAGAAAAATCAAAAGAAAAATGGAACTAAATCAATTATTTTAAATATCTAGATCTCTCAGAATTCAGAAATTATGGAATCAATTTTCAATAATATGTTATATTCTACTAAATGTATTAAATATAAATATGACAATATGAGCAAGTAAGACAATATTTACTGAATTACTGTAGCAAGTGGTGATCGTATATATGTAAATATTACATTCCTTTTGTTAACGTGTATGTATGGTACATATTTATAACAAGTTTCTTTGTATGAGATAAAAGTACATAGAACGTTGCTGCTATTAAACTATGGAAAGTTGGAAAGTGGAAACCATCTGCCCTTATAATAATAAAAGGAACATTCTTTGTAGTTATATCTCTTATGACTTTCCAAGAAAATTGGCTCGCGATTAATCAATGACAAAAAGTGTAGGTGTTAAAAAAAGAAGAATGGGATATTCAACTTCCAAAAAGGTTATTATTTATCAATTATAAATACAATTAAATTGAAAAACAAATCGTGATCTACAAGGGAAATACATACAAATAACATATAAAAGAGAACCCTAGCTTTCCCCAAGATTGATATCTCTATATACAAGTACATATGCACAAACACTGAGACACTTCTATTTCTCTTCTCTTTAGAAAGCAATGAAATTCTTGTTGAGCTGATCATGAAACCTACCTGACCGCCGTACACTAGCCGCTCTTCTTGCAGTGAAACCAACGGTCGTGGGCCGAATCGATCTCTGCCTAACCATTTCCACAAACTCGGGATCGTTAGAATGACCCTCGTACCGAATCCACTGAATCATTTGATGGTAACCTGGGAAGAATCTCATCTGAACTGACTTGAAGACGAAGAAAGGGATCAAAGCGAAGAACATCACGAAGAGAGTGGTGAGCCAGTAAGATGGAGCTGGAGCTAAGGCTTCGATGAAGACTTTGTAAGCATCTGTGGAGAAGCTAGGAGCGATGGCTCCATAGATCATGAGGAAGATATACCAGAATGCAACTGATCCCCATATTACAATGTGTTGGAGCCAAGTGAAGTAACTTATGGCTAAAGCCATTTGGAGATTGACGACCCAGACTACGCAAGTGTACATTGTCCCGCCGAGGATTTCTCTGCCGGCAGTTTTGCCATTAGGGTTGTAGATTTGGTGTTTTAGAGATTCCTTGCAGAGGAAGAAAATGGCGAGCGCGGTGAAGACTCCGTTGAACATCCATCCGATGATTCTCTTCCAGCTGAAGAGAAGATTCTGAACTCCTTCTTGGTATAGCAACGGGAACTGCAAAAAGAGAAAGAAGCAAAAAAAAACAGAGTTTAATTGGCGATTCTGAAGAATTTGAGGTTTTTATAGGGTTTATGGGGGATAATGTTTGGATACCTTGTAACAGTAACGAGCTGAGACGTCTTGATCGAAAACTCCGAGAGCAATGACAGGAAGCGAAGAGAAGAAAACGTTGAATAGTGATAAAAACCAGTCATTATATGCGGGTTGAGCAGAGAAGGATGTGTAGGCTTCGTATAAGAATACGGTGACACCAAAAGTGATATTCTTGTAGAAGAAGTAACATATCTGAAAGAGCGGAAACAGAACCCCGTTAGAGAAATTTTTGATGAATGTTTAGAGTTTATATGGAGATTGTTTCTGACAGAGAAAAATGTGTACCATTGATGAGATTCTACTGTAGCACCAGTGACCATGGACCAGCAAGAGACGCTCTAAGTAACGGAATTGAGCAATGGCTATATCGCTAGACATAACCGCTTGCATTCCCTCAACACCGCTGATTCCAACACCGATATCCGCTTCTTGAAGCATTCCGACGTCATTTGCTCCATCTCCAATAGCTAAAGTTGTCTTCCCGGTTCCAGATTTGACCAACCGCGTAACCTGAAAACAAAATCTTCTATTAACTAAACCGAAACCGCAATACTAGAACCCATAAAAAGCCAATTACACGGGAAAAGACATTACCAGTGCCTTTTGTTTAGGTGATGATCTGCAACAAATAACAGAGGCACATCCTGTGGCTAAATCAAGAAACTTCTTCTTGAAATCATCTTCAAGAGCATAGGTTAGTGACTTCCCGTCAATGATCAAGGCAAAAGCCTCATGAGAGCTCGCGCTGCGTGATGCTGTGAGTAGAGCTTTCCCTTCTTCCATTTGCTTCACCACGCTTTCTCGTGATGCCTATAAACATCAGTCGGTCCAAATATATATAAATCTCATTGATTAAAAGATAGCAAAAGTATTTTCTTGTTTGAGTTACATATGGGAAAAAAATTACCTGTTCAATCTCATCTTTCCCACCAGCTTTCTCCAATGCTTTGATATGTGGTGTCTCAAGATTTATGATGATCTGTTTCATCTCTTGTCTTAGTAAACTACAAGCAAATCTGCAGAGATTTTGAAAAAAATGTCAAAAACTATGAATCAAACACACACTAAGAACATAGACATGAGAGCAAAAACAAAAGTTCCTTACCCGATATTGATTGCAGTCTCCATTTTGTCTCCGGTTAGAACCCAAATCTTTATTCCTGCTTGAGCTAGCTTGTCGATGCAGTCCGGAACCTAAAACACAATCAAGTTATAGTCCTACTCGACCCAAACCTGAATCCAAAACATTTTAAAAAAGAGCCATACCCCATTTTGAAGTTTATCCTCAACAGCAGTAGCACCAAGGAGAATCAAATTGCGTTCCATCTGATCTGTGATTTCATCGATTAAGCTCTCACGATCCGCTGTCACCGAGTTCTTAGCTTCATTGAAGTTCTTGCTGAATTCTATATACTCATTCTCATCAACCTCACGGTATGCAAGTATCAATGTCCTTAGCCCTGCATCTGCATATTCATTAACATGTTCTCGAGTCTTCTCTTCGAACTTTCGCCCGTTTTTTGCAAGTCTTTCAAACATTACACTGCACATTAAAAAAAAACAAGACTCCACAAATTCAATATATATCAACAAGAAGGCTTCAAAATGTATAATCCCTCCAGATTTTTAGTTAACTTACTTGTCAGCTCCTTTGGACAGTAACAGAAGTCTCCCATCTTCGTCGCGCACAATAACCGACATTCTCTTTCTCGCGCTGTTAAACTCAAGAACGTTTAATAACCGATATACTCTGTAAGAAAACAGAGGAATGTTAGTTCTTGACATCAAGAAATCGCAGACAATGTCGAATTATAAAGTATAAAACAAACCTTTCTACTGTTTTCCCTGAAGCAAGATCCAATTCACGGAAAGAAATCCCGTTTTGCGTACGGCTAAAGAACTCAAACCCGAATTCTCGAGCCGCAACAACAAATGCAGCTTCATCAGGAGACTCAGCCTCATAAGAGACACTCCCTGTAGCTTCATCGGTTTCGGGTATAGCCGTGTGACAAACAGCTAACAACCTGAAAAACTTCTGCAAAACCGCTGCATCTCGCTGCTTAACCCAATTCCCTTTCATAACCCTCTCATCCTGGAAATTAAACCCTTTGATCTTAGGACCAGACTGGTCCACTACAACATCCAAATCTTCACTAACCAAATTTGAACCATTGCTTCTCATAGCCATAGATCTTTCAACTTCAGTTATACCGCGTCCGTAAGCAGTTCCCGCGATAGAACATTTGATAAACTCCATTGAATTGCAGGTCAAGGTACCGGTTTTATCAGATAGAATCGTATCAACCATTCCGAGCTCTTCATTGAGATTAGACGTCCTAGCATGCGCAGGTTTATCATTCTCCTCGTAGTACATAAGAATGTCATTGTTGATGAAAACACTCTGAAGAACTTTCACGATTTCGATAGAGACATAAAGCGAAATCGGTATGAAGTAACTGTAGAGCATAACCGCAGTGAAGAAATGGTAAATGGCAGCCATTGGAGCTCTGTCTGGATCAAAGAAGATATCTGCCTCGTCTGGTCTTAAGTACCATCTCTCTGTTCTTCCTCCATTTCTCACTCTATCTTCTCTAGTCTCAACACCAAAGACAATCGAACCGATAAACGACATCAAAAACACAACACCGAACATCAAGTAGATGATTTTATCCATTTTTCTCTCGATTCTGCTTCTCTTCGATGGTGGATCAGTTGAATTTTGAATCACCTGTTTCAGAATTTCAAATTCAACACTTTTGACACCAAAGGCTTACATAACTGAAAAAACAGATGTTAAAGTTTATACCTTTGTGTCATGTCCAGTGAAGACAACAGCACCATAAACATACTCTGTGTTTCTAAGCTTGGAATCTCGAAGAAGAAGCTGTGTAATCGACAATGGTAATCTCTGTTCTTCAAAATGTAAAGTTCCAACAAACGTATAAAGATCTGCATTTGGATCTTCACATTTCACAAGAGCTTTTAACTCTTTGAAATCTGAATCTTCATGTAAAGCTGATGAAGTCGCTTCTAAACCTTGCTTCACTTTCAGATTCGTTTCTCCATCAAGATTCATAGTCTCTACATAACAAATCGAATCTTCGTAGCTCGATGATAAAAGCAAAAGATCCGCCGGAAAAAACTCGTCTTTTTCAACTCTTACTATATCTCCGACCTTAAGATTCCTCCATCCTTCTCGCCGGAAGTTTCCATTTCCGTCGTGAACCTTCACTTTCCTATTATTCATTTCTATATCCTAAAACAAATAAAAAACAAAACTTTGATTAAAAATCCAAACTTTAATTTGACAAATAAGAATTGATGTAGTACCTGTTTTTTCCGACCCCAATCTTCGATAGCTTCTTTAACCATACTTGCGGCGATGACGAAGGTGAGAGGTAAGAGAGCACTAATGGGGCTGTAAGGAGAGAGAGATGTCAACGATAAGATTCCGGTGACGAGGAAGTAGAAATTGGCGACACGACGGAACTGTTCAAAGAGTGATTTTGGTATGAAAGAAGCTGGAGTGTATTTAGTTGACCGGACATAGTTTCCGGTGTAGTTACGTCGTTCAGCCGCCGGAGAATTTGGTTCGTTACAATAAACAACTCGTGAGAAACCAGGTCCTCCTATGTGTGAATGATCTTCTTGAAAACTTGATTTACGACCTTTGAATGCGTATATGTTGCTCAGATGTAATCTTCTTCTCCGACACTTGGTCATTGTTGTTGTCTGAAAATCTCTTGTGAATTTTGGAAAATTGGAGAGGGAAAAAGAATGAAAGAATGAAGATATTTTTGGAACTATAATAGAATGAATAAATTTGAGAGAGAAATGTCGAATTTTTATGAGAGTAATTATATGATTTGATTTAGCATTGCAACTCAGAAAAGAAGAGGAACGAGTAATGAAAAACCCAACTTTGAACGACGACTTTCAACGGATTATTATTTTATTTAACGGAGTTTTATTGTTTATTTTTTATAATTTTCTAGGTACTGAGGAAACTGAATAATTTTCTCTGAAATTTAGAATAATCAATACATAATAAAGAATAAATAAAAACATTTGAATAACAAAGAGATTTGGATAAATTTTGAATGGAATGTAATGGTCAGAGAGAGTCTTAAAATGTTTAGAAATTATCTAAGAATAAATCTCTCATTGTCTTGCTCTAGAAGAATTAATAATAGAGGAACGACTGTGAATGAGCCGTGGACGAAGACGAAGTCGTTGATGGTTACATATTTATCTCTTTTGACAACTTCTTGGAACAGAGAAGAATAGTCAAGAGTGGCAATTACTGACAAGTAATTACTATATACTATAGTGATTAGTGAATGAATAATGATATTTTTAATTGATTGTTTGATGATCTAATGTAAGGATTGATTAGTATATTATTATTATTATATTATCAAACTAAAAAATTGATTTCCAGTGATCTCCGCCAGCCAAGAAGGTTCTCTGGCTCGATCTCCTGATTAAAATTATCTTCTGACACTCTTTTAGCAAGTAGCAACACATGTGAATGTGGATTCATCTAAATAAATAAAAATATTAAAAGTTTGGCAAGATAATATGTCATCTAGCTCCTCCATTACCGAACTTGAGCTCAAGGACAAATAAAATTAGGTTATTTTGCATATTTTTAGTTGGTGTCTTGGTTGATAATTCTTGAAACAAATAAAATACTATTTCCGTTCATGGTCTCCTTAGATCTAGAAATAGTCATAGTTTAAAGAGCTTAATCATAGTTATAAGTTTGTTAAAACATGGTTAACTCATCTTCTTCCGTGTATATAACATTGTTTTGTACATTTTAGATCCATTTAGTGAGAAATTTCTATAGTTACACTAACATAATTTACATGTTTGTGATCTGATAAATTCTATTTTTAATTACATATTATCACGATATGTTCATGTCATTATTATAGTCACACATCTTCCCAGCAAATACGTCTCACCTACTCTCATTATCATATGGCTGCGCGACTGACTATTCAAACTCATTCTCATGTGTGAGCATAATTTAATTTAATAATTAGTCGTTATCGCTTTGACAATAATGATGCATATGGGACAACAACGGTTTTTTAATCCTATGTTTATAAATAAATATATAAAGTTAGCTTTACTAACATATAAAATATTTAAGATGATGTAACAAAAAAATATCAAGAAGAAAAACAAACGTTCACTTTCACATCAGCGGTCAGCGATTATATTGGGCTTTTTCTCATATTCACATTTAACTATTTTTAGGCCCAAAAAACAAAAGAAAGTCTCCAACAAAATCGGACCTTCTGTTTGCTTTCTGCGTGACGGTAATTTCCTTTTTTACTCCATTCACCGACGACCAATTTCACTATTTCGATTTTACTTTCTTTTTTTTTTTAATCGGGGACTTCAAAATTCTTAAAGCCGTTGTGTTGTCAGAGAGAGAAAAAGAAGAGAGATTTCTTTTTCAATTTTGGGAAATTAGGGTTCCAAAAATTTCGAACTAATGTTCACGCCACAGAGAAAACCGTGGATGTCACCGGCGATGACGCCGAGAAGCGAGAAGCATAAAATCGGCGGTGTTACTAACCCTAGAAACGCTGATAGAAAGGGAAAGGCCGTTGCTTTTAGCGATGACCTAGTGATATCGACTCTTCCACCGCCTCCGATTGGAACACTGACCGGAGAAGGCGTTTCTCGAGGTTACACTGATGATATGGATACGAGTGATTGGAGAAGGTTTAGGGAAGTGGGTTTGTTGAATGAGGCTTCAATGGAGAAGAAAGATCAAGAAGCTCTTCTTGAAAAGATCTCCACACTTGAAAAAGAGGTAACCTTTATGAACAATTTGATTATTCTGTTTCTGGGTTTGCTTTATTTCTTTGAGAATCTATAGCAACAAGAAGGACATTTGGGTTTATGAGGCAATTGGTAACCTTTAGCTGTATGAAAGTTGAAATGAGTGTTTTTGACTCTTGGGTATTACTTTTGATAAATACAAATCTACAGGCTTTAATCTCTTAGACTTGGTGCTTCTGTGCAGTTATATGGCTATCAGCACAATATGGGGCTTCTTCTCATGGAGAACAAAGAGTTGGTTTCAAAGCACGAACAACTAAATCAGGCATTGCAAGAAGCTCAAGAAATCCTTAAAAGGGAACAGTCGTCACATCTGTATGCGTTGACGACTGTCGAACAACGCGAAGAAAACTTGAGAAAAGCTTTGGGTCTGGAAAAGCAATGTGTGCAAGAGGTAGCATTCTTCAAATTATGTTTGATTTTGAACGTTTTTGCTCTTGTGAATATAAATTTTATCTACTTATGTGATGCATTGATTTTGGGGTGTTCTTCTTTTCTGTTGAGCTTCCTTCGACATGGGATTCATTTTTCTGTTTTAGTTAGACGTTTTACTTCGTTTGTGTTCTGAATTTTCTTTGATATATTTTCTTTTATTTTATTTTTGTCTGCAGCTTGAGAAGGCTCTTCGTGAAATTCAAGAGGAGAGTAGCAAGATGAGGCTGACTTCTGAAGCTAAATTAGTTGAAGCTAATGCTCTGGTTGCTAGTGTTAACGGGAGATCTTCAGACGTGGAAAACAAGATTTACTCTGCCGAAAGCAAGCTCGCAGAGGCAACTAGAAAGAGCTCCGAGCTGAAAATGAGATTGAAGGAAGTGGAGACTCGTGAAAGTGTCCTGAAACAAGAGCGGCTTTCATTTGCTAAAGAGTAAATATAGATATCAGAATCAGTTATACGTCTGAAAATTTCAATTCTTTTTGTTAGTCTTAAGTGTATGTTATTGTTATTGCACCACAGGCGAGAATCATATGAAGGGACTTTCAACAAACAAAGAGAGTACCTTAATGAATGGGAGAAAAACCTTCAAGAAAAGGAAGAAATAATGACTGAGCAGAAGAGAAGCCTGAATCAAAGAGAGGAAAAGGTTAATGAAAAAGAAAAGAAACTGAAGCTGAAAGAAAAAGAACTTGAAGAATGGAATAGAAAGGTTGATTTGTCTATGTCGAAGTGTAAGGAAACTGAAGAGGACATAACTAAACGATTGGAAGAATTGACTACAAAAGAGAAAGTGAGTTTATAGCTTTTGAAAATGGCTTATTTAGACTTGTGCATATTTCTTATATGACTTTGTTTATGGTGGTTTACCCTAGGAAGCTCACACACTCCAGAGCACGCTAGTGGCAAAGGAAAATGAGTTACGAGCCTTTGAAGAGAAGCTCATTGCTAGAGAAGGGGTAAGTTTAAGGGTATAGCTTTCGTAGATTGTAGTTGTTGAACATTTTTATACACTGGAAATATAAATATTTAATGAAAGTAACAGCATGCTCATAATAGGAATACTGTTATGCAGTGGATATCAAGCCTTCTTTCTCTACTTAGTCCATATTGTAGAAGTATTGCGTAGCTGGTGATCAACAAGTTTGCATGACTGCTCATATATATGTGTATAAATATATATGTATACACTTATATATGACCTTCTTACTTGACGATGTACCTATTTAGTTTTTCCCGTTGAATTTATAAAATTTCATTTACTCTGATATCAATTATTAAAGCTTTGGTTTGTTTTTTTTAACAGACAGAAATTCAGAAGCTTATTGATGATCAGAAAGAGGCATTAGCTGCCAAGATGCTGGAATTTGAACTGGAATGTGAAGAAAGAAGAAAATCTCTGGACAAGGAAATCCAAAGAAAGATAGAAGAGCTCGAACGACAGAAAGTTGAAATTGATCATAGCGAAGAGAAGTTGGAGAAAAGGAATCAAGCAATGAATAAGAAGTTTGACCGAGTGAATGAAAAGGAGATGGACCTTGAAGCAAAGTTGAAAACTATTAAAGAGAGAGAAAAGATCATACAAGCTGAGGAGAAAAAGTTGGGTTTGGAAAAACAACAGTTGCTTTCTGATAAGGAGAGTCTGGAAGACCTACAACTAGAGATTGAAAAAATCCGAGCTGAGATGATGAAAAAGGAAGAAATGATTGAAGAAGAATGCAAAAGTCTTGAAATCAAGAAAGAAGAGAGGGAAGAATACCTGAGACTGCAATCTGAACTCAAGTCCCAGATAGAGAAATCTAGACTCCACGAGGAGTTTCTTTCTAAGGAAGTTGAAAATCTGAAGCAAGAAAAAGAGAGATTTGAAAAGGAGTGGGAAATATTGGATGAGAAGCAAGCAGAATACAATAAAGAGCGGATAAGAATTTCTGAAGAAAAAGAAAAGTTTGAGAGGTTTCAACTACTGGAAGGAGAAAGATTGGAGAAAGAAGAGAGTGCTTTGAGGGTTCAGATCACGCAAGAACTGGATGATATTAGACTGCAGAGAGAATCATTTGAAGCCAATATGGAACATGAACGATCAGCGTTACATGAAAAAGCCAAACTTGAGCAATCTAAGGTGATTGACGATCTTGAAATGATGAGAAGGAATCTTGAAATTGAACTTCAGAAAAGAAAAGAACAAGACGAGAAAGATCTACTATACAGAATGGCTCAGTTTGAGGACAAAAGAATGAAAGAGCTTAGTGATATCAATCACCAGAAGCAGGCTTTGAATAGGGAGATGGAAGAAATGATGTCCAAAAGGAGTGCTCTCCAAAAGGAAAGTGAAGATATTGCAAAGCACAAGGAGAAACTAAAAGAGCAGCAAGTAGAGATGCATAATGACATCAGCGAACTTAGTACACTCAGCATCAACCTCAAGAAACGTAGGGAAGTGTTTGCCCGTGAAAGAGCTCGTTTTCTAGCATTTGTTCAAAAGCTCAAGGATTGTGGGAGTTGTGGGCAGCTGGTAAATGACTTTGTACTCTCTGATCTCCAGCTACCATATAATGATGAAGAAGCTATTCTACCACCTATTGGAGTTTTAAGTGACCTTCCAGGAAGCTCTAATGCATCTGACTCTTGTAATATCAAGAAATCTCTAGACGGAGATACCTCTGGAAGTGGGGGATCTAGAAGGCCCAACATGTCGATACTGCAGAAGTGCACTTCAATCATTTTCTCACCAAGTAAAAGAGTTGAACATGGGATTGACACTGGCAAGCCTGAGCAGCGTCCATCCTCCTCAGTGGCAGTTGGTATGGAAACAAAAGGTGAAAAGCCTCTACCAATTGATCTCCGACTGCGTCCATGTAGTAGCTCAATTCCGGAGGAGGATGAGGAATATACAGACAGTAGAGTACAAGAAACTTCTGAGGGTTCTCAACGATCTGAGCTTCAAAGTGCCAGGCGTGGACGTGGCAGACCTAGAAAAGCCAAGCCTGCTTTGAATCCTACAAGTTCGGTGAAGCATGCCAGCCCTGAAGAATCATCAAAAGATGAATTGAGTGGTCGCGTTTCTGTTACTAGCGAGAAGACAACAGGCGGAGGTGGAAGGAAAAGACAGCATACTGATGATACTACTACTGGTGGACAGCGTAAGAGACAACAGACAGTTGCTGTCTTGCCACAGACCCCTGGCCAAAGACGCTACAATCTGAGGCGGAACAAGACGTAAGTTTCCTAACATTGTGACAGTGAGTTTAAAGGCTTTGATATGGCTTCACATGATTTTGCTTAGGATATGTTGAGGTGGAAAGTAGGGGGCCGTTGTATTGGTTTAGTCTTCGGTAGGTAGAAAATATTAGTCTGGTTTCACTATTATTAACCACATTCCCTATCATTGTTGTATCTTAATTCTGTTCATTGATTGCCTAAAATCTTATGAGTGAACAGTGTAGACCAAGTTCCAGCAGATGTTAAGGATAATGCAGCTGGTGGTGAAGATGATGCAGACATTGCTACCTCTGCCCCATCAAAGGACAATGTCGAAGAAACTAGTGAATCTGTGGTGGAGACTCTTCGAGCTAGAAGAATAGAAACTTCAGAAATTAGGGTTGCAAATGTGGAACCAACAGCTCCCTCTGTTGAAGATGACCAGAAGCAGAGAACAGTAAATGAGGATATGAATGAGGATGGAGATGAAGAAGAAGATGAAGCTCAAGCTCAAGATGATGATAATGATGAAAGTCAAGATGATGATGATGATGATGGTGACGATGATGGATCACCAAGACCCGGTGAAGGATCCATAAGAAAGAAGCTTTGGACTTTTCTCACTACATAACCATCGCACGTGGATGATCTAGGAGATGTTACTTTCACATTTATGTTGTAAAACCATTTATAGCTTCTTGGATCCAAAGAGAGACCCTTTTGATAGGGGTGAAGTTAGAAGAATTAGAAGCAGAGGCGTGTGTTTTTAATGATGTACTTTGAATTGACAGAACATAAAAGCCAGAATCCAAAAGGATAATATTGATTACAAAATAAATGTCAAAGGATTAATTTGCAGAAAAGCAGAACATTAAAAGAAAAATCTTTGTCAACATTAAATTCAATAACGCTTTGATATGTGTGCTTCTCTGCATGCTCTAGTACATACGTATATGTTATTATAAGTATTGGTAAATTCCATATGTGCATAAATGTATGGTTATGGGAACAAATGAAACCTTTACTTTATGTGACAAAAGAGGAACATGTAACCAAATTCTCTTCTTTTACTTTTTAACCATTTGAATTGTAATGAGAAAAGCTATTGATTCCCAACGACCTCTCGCTCTCCCTTCAATAAATAATAACAAGAACCAACTCAAAACCCAAATAGAAAGAGGACAAAATACATCACACGCTCTGTTTCTCCTGTTCTTGTTCTCTGTGGGAACAATGTTGTATCAAACGTTTTTTTACTCTCTTCTCTTACTATCTCTGCTTTTCTGTTGTACCGGAGATGAGTCTTTACCTGAAGTAACTGATTCTGAAGAAGCTCCAATGGACAAAAAAGAACGTGAAGCCTTGTACTCTGCGATTCAAGGATTTGTTGGTGATTCTTGGAACGGATCTGCTCTTTATCCTGATCCTTGTGGTTGGACTCCAATTCAGGTTTGTCTTACAAGTCTCTATTTCAATAAACCCTTGTTTTAGAGTTTCTCTAGAGTCATGTTTTGTACGGTCAAGTCCTTAATTGTCATAGACTCTTCAATATAGTGAAGAGATGTAGAAACTTTTTATCTTTAGATGTTGTTGAATCAATCAAACTTAACTTCAAAAAGCTTTTGAAATGATGTGTAAAGATTTTTTTGTTTTCTAGCTGTCTCAAATAATTCTTCAAAATGCTTTGTCCCCTTTGAAAATTTTCCATAATCGGATAGTGAAGTTTAAAGCTTCGAAGCAACAAAGTGAATCCTATTTTCATATAACATCTCTTTTTTGGGGTTTCTTTAAATGTTTCAATGGTTGTTACAATTATATGCTCATTGGCCCACCAATCATTTGTCTATCTTGCAGCTAAGTACTCTTCAGAAAATCCAAACTTTGAAAAAAAAAACTTTTTTGTTTTGGTTTCAGGGTGTTTCGTGTGACATCTACAATGACTTGTGGTATGTCACAGATTTGAGTTTAGGGCTTATTTATGAAAACTCGCTTCCTTGCTCCTCAAGTCTTCAGATAAAGCCAGAGTTATTTGAGCTCAAGCACTTAAGATCTCTCTCCTTCTTCAACTGCTTTATCTCTCCCATGGTGATATCTCAAAAGAGCTGGATAAACTTTGCATCTAACTTAGAAATGCTCGAGTATAGATCCAATCCCGGTCTCATTGGGAAACTTCCTGAAACAATTGGCAATCTCACAAAACTTAAGTCTTTAGTGGTTCTCGAAAATGGGTTCAATGGAGAATTACCGGCGAGTATCTGCAACTTAAAGACACTAAAGCGGCTGGTTTTCGCAGGGAACTCATTCGCGGGAATGATCCCAAATTGTTTCAAAGGGTTAAAAGAGCTCTTGATCTTGGATTTGAGCCGCAACTCTTTCTCAGGGACATTGCCTTCATCTGTTGGAGATTTGGTTTCATTGCTCAAGCTTGACCTAAGCAATAACCTCTTAGAAGGGAACTTACCTCAAGAAATTGGTTTTTTGAAGAATTTGACACTTTTGGATCTGAGGAACAACAGATTCTCTGGTGGGCTGTCCAAGAATATTGAAAATATTCAATCTCTAACGGAATTGGTGTTATCAAACAATCCAATGGGTGAGGAAGATATGATGGGAACAAAGTGGGAAAAGATGAACAATTTGGTAGTTTTGGATTTATCCAAAATGGGTTTGAGAGGTGAGATTCCTACAAGTCTAACCAACCTGAAAAGGTTAAGGTTTCTTGGTCTGAACAACAACAATCTAACCGGTTTTGTTCCATCAAAGAAGCTTGAGGCTTTGCCTTGTCTTGGTGCTTTATACATCAATGAAAACAACTTAACAGGTGAGCTTAGATTCTCTACAAAGTTCTATGAGAAGATGGGAAGAAGATTTAAAGCTTTTAGGAATCCAAATCTTTGTCAACCATTTGAAATGGTAAAGTCAGAATCTCATAAGCATTTACTTCCTCGTGGAGTGAAGCCATGCACTTAAGAGAAGGAAGAGTTTGGTAATATAACAAACGTGAAACCAATAGGAGGAGTTGAAGTCATTATCAATGGGTGTTTGTGAACTCATCAAGCTATCTGTTTTTTTTCTTACATTTTGGTAAATATGTAAGAATATTGTTTAATCTCATCGAGACTTCTATTATTGTACTGCTATATTGGCCCATAAATGAATATGTAGACGATTAAAAAACAAGTCTTATTGGGCTGATACTGCTGGCCCAGTAAGGGAATCAATAAATAAAAACAAACTGGCCCATGCAGGTTTCGAACCTGCGACCTTCGCGTTATTAGCACGACGCTCTAACCAACTGAGCTAATGGGCCACTTTGATGATAGACTATGTTATTATTAAATAATTTGTTTTGTAGAGAAGAGGAATGGTGGAACTATGAGGCTCGAAACAAAAAGACACAAATTTTGTTGACAACTATTTAATACAGTGCTACGGAGTAAAGTACGAGCAAGATGCCAACGTCTATTATAGACTTAGACTTGTCACAAATAATTGCTCTCTTCATGTCTCATAAAGAGACGATCATATATTATATAATTAAATGTGAGATAAGATAATCATATGTAGCGTGTTATCGGAAAGAAGAACACATAATGTGAAGGCACCCGGAAAGAAGCCCAAAATGTTCTAGAATTGTAGACAGAAACAAAGGAACACAACTCAATAAGGAAATTAATAATTAGTTGGTTTGATGGGACGAATAGTGTCTGAATGTTTCATCTTCCAAAGAGATAATGTCAACAAAGAAAAAGTCATAGAAACTTCTCAAACGTTACAAAGACTCCAACAAATCAACTATTTGATTTGTTGTTTGAGACATCGTAGGCCATCTCTTGTTCATTTTTTCGGTACACTGAACTTGTTTAAACCCAACAAGTTGGATCGACCTGGTGGTGTTTGGAATTCCAAGTTGGGTATAAGATGAACTATGGATCGGATCACACTTAATACTAATTGGTTTTAAATTGAAAATACAGAATTCTTGTTATGTCCTTGATGTCCATGATTAGAGAGAGAGGTACATAAAAAAAAAGTTCAGCCTCGTCTTGTTTTCGTTACCAAATTTTCGTTTCATGTGGAAATATGTTTTTAAATCAGGAAAAAGTTTGAAATCTTTGTTTGTGAATGTAACAAGGTCGGAAAGAAGTGAGATCATCAAATTTCTGAGACAATCGTAAAAATTATTATTGAAGTAATAGCTAATTATTACATATTAATAAAAATGCATAATTAAAACCAAAGAAAATGTTATTTTAATTTCCTTCTTTAAGGTTTTTAGTTAAATTAATCCGGAACATATCTCAAACATGATTTTTGGCTTTTTCATCTATCTTATCCTATTTCATTTTCATCACAAGTTTAATCAAGGAAAAATGAATCGAGATTTTTTTTGTTAATGTGTTACCTTTTGTTTGCCCACCCCACCCTAAACCAATGGAGAATGTTAGGCATAGTATTTAAAATAAAAATAAAAAGACATTGAACGATAAGTACAAAAGGAGATTAGTTCCAGAAAATTAAAGAAGTACAAAAAGGAAAGCATAAGGTTGAAAGGTGAGCGGCTCAATTATTACAACTTTATTTATCAGGGCAAACACTCAAAATTCGTAGCCCGAGAAGAAGTGAAAGAGACAAGAGAGAAGAGACCGGTGGTGATGGTCACGACGGCGACGATGGTAGGACCGCCGCACGTGGCCTGCCTTACCCATGTCTCCATTTGACCAGTCAACGTACTTCTTCTTTAATTATTGGAGTTCTGCATCAGTACATATATCTAAAGGACTAAAACGTTTATCAAGTTCATATTATTAACATGACCAGTTCTTTTTCATCTAAACAGCTAATAACTCATACAGTCATACCAAACAAAAAAAGTTTTATGAGTCACTCTAAATTTTAGTTTTAAAAAACAGAGAAGAGTCGTCAGATTTAATCAAGTTGACAATATACTGAAATCAGTATGTCCTTTGAAAATCGGAAAACGGCTGATTATAGAATATAATTAGACGTGACATCGTCCATCATAATTATTTTAGCACCTAATGATAACGTCAGATAAATCAGAGGGACCAACCAAACTAATGATTTTGAGAATTGTGTCCCTTGGTTTATATATACAGTCGCTCATAAATTAATGAATTATATCATCCCTCTCAATACAAATGTATTTGAGTAGTTAGCTGTTACATTAGCTAATCAATCTATTACGTCCAATATGAATAATTAGAAATCTAAATTGATTATCTTTATAAAAAAATATTATTTTGGACTGTAATGTCAACCATACAAATCTTAGTAGTGTTATTTAACTTACTTTGATAACTCACTTCTCGCAACCGAGATTAATCAACACAAAACATAAAAGTTTGAGGCAAACCATGGGACATGTCGAATATTGTGTGATAATATTCTCCCATGAACTAAAATAAAAGTAGACTTTTTGTTGGTCGGAATTAAAATAGATTAGTTTAACCAACCAATCCCCATGCGTGGGGCAGCGATAATCAACAATTAACTAACGAAATCTTATTGATTATTGCTTTATTATTGCCGCCTTTGAATCATACATCATAGGAACAAAGAGTTGTTGGTTTGACTAAACATATGATTAATACATTAATTGTGTGATCCTTGTAATATTAAAAGAATCATATGAACACTGAAATTGAGATTTGAAAACCGTAATTGACGTCCCAAGAAAAGATTAGATAACTATAGAAAAAAAGTAACGACCATTTATACATTAACTGTAAAATCATTTTATATTTCAAATGTCATAGAACAAAGCCAAAAGCTATTACAAAATTTTGTCAACTCTCTCTATTATACCGTCAATATTTACAATACTGCCCTCTCCTCCACTAAATCATCGAATTTTCCATATTTGCTCCAAAGAACAAGAATTTGCTAAACGATAAAAAGAGGTCTGATCGAAAACAAGTCAAACCCTTAACCGATTCATTCACAATCTCGCGTCGAATCAAACCCGATCCGCCAGGCCGGTTAAGCTCCAAACATCACGATTCGTCTCTCTCCAACACACGAAAGCTTTTTATACATAAAAGATTGAGAATGAATCTTGAGGATAGAGAAGATCTCAATCGTGCCAACAAAGAAGCATGACGACACATCTTCGAATGATGTAAAGCTTAGCTCTTTGTTCTTTAAGAACAGCTCCAAGTCCTTTACTCGATACTCTTCTCTTTGAACCTCCCATCTTCATCTTCGATATATCGATCGACTTTGGCAAAAACAAAAACAAATTTTTCTTCTCTTAGGGTTTGAGATATGTAATAGAGGATGAATGAAATTGAGGATACAGAGAAGAAGAGAGTCTTTTTTATAGAAGAAGAAAAAGATTGAAACGTGACCCTACACACTTCTTTTTCACTACCCACTTGTGTGTTTTTTGCGATATTGCAATTTAATTATCATTGAATATTGAATGATTTATATGGTCACAGTTTCACAAAACCCCCAAACATCTATGCCCTATTTGTCCCCGTTGTTGGTATGTATCATGGCACACATGCAAGCCACGTGGTCGATTATTTTTATTTTATTTTGTTGTAATTCTCTTTTTTAAAAAAAAAGAAGTTGTAATTATCTTATCACCTATCTATAGATGTTATATTGCTTCTAGATTAGTAGTTTAATTTCTCTCTGTGAATCAAGGGTTAACGATCAAACGACGTTTAATTACAAACGCTCACAACAAACTAGTGGTTTTATAATACTATATACAGAAAATTTTCTCGCTAATTTCTTTTTAAGAATTAGTGCATGAAGTAGATATAGGCCTATCGCAAATTCGCAATGCACATATTTGTCGTTATAGAAAATGGATATTTTCAGTGACGCCTTCTTTTTTCTCTGCAGATGCTAATGGAGTGGCCGAATCATTCCCTTCTTTGTGTTGGCAATATTTTTTACTAAAAAAAAAAAGAAATGAGAAAACAACTTTTTGTTTTGCAACAATCATACTTTTATTTATTTTTAACTAAGTTTCTTTCTTTTTTGTTGTTGTGGAGATCTGAGAATTTTAATTTTGATCCTATTATTGTAACAAATACTTTTCAACTTTTTCTAATTTCGGTAGGATTGCAATTAAATGGGTTCTTTTTCATAACAGAAGCTTCTAAAAGAGTTAGATAGGTATGTTCAGCGAGGCCGAGAAAAAGATTGAATTATTCAAATATTAAAAAAAACTTCGAGAAGAGTTTCAAACTTAGATCCTATACATTTTTTTTTCTTCCAGATCCTATACATGCAAAGATAATGGCACTGTCCTGCAAATAAAAGTCGTGAATCTGATTTTCTTATGTCGTATATGAAAAATCAATAATGGTAGTTTCTAAGAAGCAGAATTTTCAAATCACTAGAACAAGATGTCAAGATGGTAAAGTCACTAAAACTGCCGTCGATTGATAATTAACGTCTCATACCATATAACATGGATATCCAAAAATATCGGCGAGTGAAGGATAATATATTTATTAGAAAAAAAAAAAAAAAAAAAAAAAAAAAATATATATATATATATATATATATATTTATTAGGTTGTGACCACAGTCAAATTTTGTGGATGATATAAATAGTTGGGTTTTCATAAAATTATTTATATTATATATTCTATATTTATTTTACAAACGGGTTGGATCCACGTCAGTGTTCCAATCTATTAGACCTTCCACGCACAATTTCAAACTCTATGGTGTGCTGTGATGTAAGAACTTAAATTGTCTTTTACTTGCTAAATTATAAATTTCAGTTAAAAACTTATTATAACTATACACAGCTATATATTCATTCTAGATTTGTATTATTTTCTTATTATAATGTACATTACCTGACAAAATAGTTAATATTATAGTCAAAGATATTATTTTTAATTGAATGCATGTATGTACGTATTCGACCATATATAGTCTATTTAGTAGAGTTCATCTAGAACTATTCGTTATGCAATTCAGTTTTCGTAAACTTGTTATCAAAACAAAGTGTCCAACGTTAATGAATTCTGACTTCAAAATATTTGTCTTTTCGTATGCTTTGACTCTTGTAAAGTGTCCATGACGCGGCGTGGATGTTGAGATTCGTTTAGTGAGAATGTGTCATTAATCAAAGAATGCGTTAGGTGACTATTACTATAATAACTCCTAACTAATTGGTCTTCTGGTGGCGCACGAATTAATTTATGATTATACCAAATAAATGATAAAGCATATACTTTTCAAATATAATAAATATTTCGTCCCGAAGATTGATTTTCCAATTATACTCTTTATTGTTTGCTAATTGTTTCACTTTTTTAAAGTTTGATGCACTATTAGTTTAAGTTAAATAAATTATATGAGAAAATAAAATTTAGAGTTGAAAATCAAAATTTAAAATCTTATTATCTGCTTAAAAACCGTCAAAGAATCCATGTTGAATATGACTTACTACTGATTAAATATTCGATCTAGGCCTTAATTCGAAAACAAATAGACTCAAAGAGTAAAAAATTGGAACTCTGCTAATAATAAGACTCACAAACAAATATACAAATAGTTAACTAGACAAATAAAGAATTGTGGGCTTCTTGGATAAAACCAAAGCACTTATAAGGCCATCTGCATTGGGCCATCTGAGGCCACGTTCTTAACATTAAAATAATAAGAAAAGTTAGAACAGTTGGCTTGGATCACCTTGGATAGTTCTTGAGCAAGATCTGTTTAAGCATTGTTCTTCTCCCCACAAGATCTTTTACATTATTTTAATACTTTATTTAACAACTTTTATTATTTTAAAAACTTTTAGAACACATGTCATGTTCTCCCATTGTGGATGGCCTAAGGGTTCTTAGCCTTCTTCGTAACCTTTAAAGTTAAAATCGGCCCAATGTTCAAAACCTATCATTGGCCCAACTACATTTAGACGTGATAAATATACGAATATTATTTTCGTTTACGTCAAGCTCTGTTCAAAAATCTGGTTACTTTTATGTCATACTAATTAGATCCGTCAAATCTATTTCGTACACATAAACATTACAACATCTATCATAAACGTACCCACATAAGAACTTCTAGTTCATAATGAAGAGATGTTAATAATAGTTTGCGTATATTCTGAAACTCAAAAAATCTGAGATCCATCGGTTTGGCATTTTACTAATGATATTGCCAAGATGATCTTAAATCGATGAGAATCTAAACTAGTACTGTCAAATGTCAAAACCACACTCTAATCTAACCATCAACTTGCTCTTCAAATTAGAGAAATAAATTATAAATTGAAGTAAAACGAAGTCAAGCGACACATCTCATTGTAACTCATCGTTACATAAACATAACTCTTTTTGTTAAACACATACATTTCAATCGATATGCACCTATCTCCGGACCTTTACCGTTACACAATCTTAACTCTTGTCGTTCACTTTCTTCTTTTCGATTCCTGAAAAAATTAGTAATAATTATCACATGAATGGTTATACACCGTCGGATCAACACCGACCACCTCTTCGATCATCTGCCACCGTCCGATGTGACAATCAGCTATCAGAGATCAACGGTGAATAACGAAACAGATCATAAGGAGCCCATAACGAATCCAACGGACACGGTCGTCTCGAGTCAAGCCTTAGCCATGGTTTCCCTTTCCCGCTCCAATGCAACAAACTCACCGGACCTGGATGCAGATTCCGGCACAGCCCCTCCAAGTTATCACCACCAAGACCATGTTGATTCCACCTATGCTCCACCGGCTCAACATCTCCGGCGAAAACAAGCAGAAACGGAGGCAAAGATCCCAATTCATAAATACGATGTCGCTTTTGAATCCTCATCCATGTCTCAAGCTTCACCGTGACTCTCCTTTCTCTCCATTTTCCGAGATCAATCACCATCACTCCGGTGTTGAAATAACACGGTTTCCTATCTTTCAACGCCGATTTGTAACCTTGACTCGACCAGAATCTTGAAGTGAAGTAATTAGTGAAGTTCGCGTGACAATACTCCGGAGCTCCGACGACGTGACGACGTAAATCGATTCTCCAGAGTTTTGCCACGTCGTCGACGACAACGAGATCGGAGTCGAAGTAGATCACTCGGCGGACGGCGACTGGAAGGAGATCAGCGAGGTAGATCCGAGCGTAGTTTAAAGGTTGGTCTAAAGCACGACGAATCGAGGAAGAGATTTTGCTACGGACGAGGTTAGGGTCAAAATGGTAAATTTGGTATGTTAGGTAAGGGAATGTTGATGAGATTATGAGGCGGAGATCGGCGCTGCGACGGTGAGTGGCGATGAAGTGGAAAACGACGTTTTCAGGACAAGAAGCGTGTTGGAGAACGGAGAAGACGCCGGCGACCGAGCCACGGAGGTAAATGGCGTCGAGAGTCATAGCGATATGGATGATGGAAGGATTGTGTTCGCGATCCGACGGTGACCATACTGTTCTGGAGCATTCTCTGCCGTTTCGAAACGCCGGAGCTTCTCGAAATGCGGGGAGGTCAGTGAGAGTGACTGCGACGCAGCTAATCGCGATTGGTAAGAGTAGAAGCAGAAGTAAACGCAAACGCAGTGAAGACATTTTTGTGTTTGTGTTGTTGTGTTGTGTAGTCTGTGTGAGTGAGTGCCTGAGTAGAGACAAGAGAGTGTGAAAGAGAAGTCTTTTGTGTCGGTGTTAATGGCGGATTAGGGGTAGTTTCGACATTTTAAGACTTTTTTTTGGTTAATGCTTAGTGTTAATTGCTAATTTGTCGTTACTTGTAATAAAAAAAGTTTAATTATGAAAGTTGTTTTTTGGGATATTTTTAACAATAATTATGAATGCTATCTCATTTAATTTTGCTTTAAGATTTAGCTAAGATTTTTATAAGATCCCAGCGATAATGATGCTCTGAGTCTCCGGTGATTTTGAAACTACGTAGGAAATAAGTAATGCGACTAGCGAGGGTTGAATTGTCTGTTTCGCACATTAGATAATTCTGTTTTCACGTGTTAAACATGTTGACCATGTTGGCTAGACTTCTAATAATCGGACGGTTGTAAACCATACGGTGTAGAATCAGAATCAATAGTAGTGTGGAGATTTTTAACCCTTGGTTCGAGTAAAATAAGTGTTTTTTACTACAGAGAAACTTTTTTTTTTTTTTTTTGGTACAAGGTTAAATTACAGAGAAACTTATATCTCAAGAACATTGATATTCATTGCCCAGAAGCAGTCATGTTATCATCCTTTTATTTTCTTTGTTTTTTTACATTGATATCGCTCATTTGGATTTTAAATACGACAAACGTATTCTTCATAGAAGGCAAATTTATCTGATATAGACTGATTAAAAAAAAATTAGGAGATAGCCAGATAGGCTTTATCACTCTAAGTAAGTAAGTACAATCCCCAGTTAGATATCACCACCATTAATGCATTTCTCTCAGCTACTTGTATGCCATAAATGATACCAAATCTAATTTGGTTATTGCAGAACGGTAAAGCCATTTTTATCATTAGTGGAAAGTAAATTTGTTTTTTGTTTAAGATGTACTAGTAAAATCTTTTGTTTGTTTTTTTCATTCGAAGAAACCACAAGACTACTAACATTGGTCCATGATGAATAATGAATATGATGCAAAAATAAAGATGAAAGTTGCAAACACAAATGTTTGGATGTTTTTGCTTTGTTAAAGGAATATTATCCTTCATAGATTCTTTTCCTCACTCTTCCCAATTTTCATATCCACTTAAATTTGTCTTAAACTGTAATGTCATCCTGATTTTGAATATCACATGTCTACAGTGTAACGATACAAAAATTCTTCGATTTTCAAAATAGATTTTGAGAATGTTCAATATTTCATCAATACTATGGTTAAGGCGCAGTTTTGTTCCCTCCTAACTAGCAATTTGTATCAATTATGCTAAAACATGTAAAATACAAAATAATAGAATATCGGTAGCTCGGTCCTCCTCCCTACTCATTCTATCAACATAAATGAAATCGAGGTTTGATGAACACGTTTAAACCCATTGTGCCATACTGCCATTATTATTTTTAAAAATCAAAATCCCCCGAATGATGTAGAAAAGTCAGATCCCACCGACACAAAAACACAAATCCCTCATCAATTATTTTCATATATAAAACTAGGACAGACAAAAGTGGATGCCCTATCAATTTTCTGTCTCATTAACTTTACATCATATTCAAATTTTAATATTTCCATTTGGCTTACTATTACTAACTAACACAAACTTAACAAATGGATCAAATATTGCCGTATTTAGAGGGAGAAGAATAATTAAGAGAGAGTAGAATATAAACAAAAATGATCGTTCTACAAATATAATAAGTAAAATTTTATAAAGAATCACCACTCTCATTAAAAGATTAAAAGGAATTCAAATTATTCATGGGATGAATATTGAATCTTATTCTCCGACTCTTAACAAATTGGAAAAAGTTGTGTGTTTGAAAAATACTTTTATGTACTGAATATCTTTCCTTCTTTGTGTTATGTATGTGTGTTGTCCGGCCCGAAACTTAAATTAAGCCCAATCTTGTTCACTCTGTTAAGCCCAATTAGATATTAGAAACATGCCCATTAGTTATACGCGTGGATTCAAATTTTATTATTATGTATCAAAACGGACTTGTAAACAAAGATGATAACGAACCCACAAAATGAGAATAAACTTTAATCTCTCTTGGACGCGAATCGAGTTCGACGTACGAGATATTTTTTCATTGACTTCAGAAAAAAAAAATCTACACTTAATTTACCGTAGTCTTTTTGCAAGTTGCAACAAAAGAAAAAAAAGGATTAACGTAGGGTCTGATTGGCAAGTGCTTTATTTGAAATACATCCAATCAAGCTTTATAAACTTTAGCTTTCCTTTTTTTTCTCACAGCCAAAATATTTCCTTAATTCATTTTTTTGGCTGTAGAAAACCTTTTTTCCTAAAGCACATAATTTTCAACTTTCCAAAATTTTAAATTCTACAGCCAAAATACTACAGCAATAAAATCTACAGCCACATCATATAAACCTACAGTCATATTTATACAGCAAAAAATGTAAAGCTACAGCTGTTACCAATCAGGCCCGTAGTCTTTTCTACTATAAATTTGACTTTCTGCTGTCGGGGAATATTCAGAAAACAAATATAACCAAATTTGTAATCTCGTTTAAGTAATTGAATATTTCTTGTATGATAGAAAGAAGGAAAATTGTCCATGTGAAGATTCTTAAATGCAACGAAGAAAAGAAAAGCAAAATAGTTTGACGAAATTTGAAAAGTCAAATGGAGTGTACAAGTGGCATATGCAGAGACACTTAGAGTTAGAGAATTATGAGATTTTAGGTCGACCGTGAAGTTTCTGGTACGTACAAGTCGGTACAAATCATTCTTGCCTGTATTAGGGTTTTTTATAAAAAAAAATTTTAGTTGAACAAAATCTAGTGTGCGCTACACCCGTACATGTTTTATTTATTCTATTAAAAAAATGGGAGAATGAGTGATTCTACAAAATTATTATGTAAACATGGTTTTCTAATCATTAATCTATCATTTTTGGTAATATCAATCTTCGTATATTGATTACAGCAAATCGGTTATATTATATATATAATATAGACTATATTGCTTATGTGCATGGAGTTTTTTAACAACGATTCCACAACGAAAAGAGAAACAAATTTATAATAGAAATAGTTAAAACTTTCAAAATTTATCCAGATCTAGAATCGAATAGATTAGAGCAATTACTAGCAAGACCTTGCAAACTTGTTTTTGTTAAACACTTATATCGTAGAATATGGATAGTATGTTCTTCTTTAGAATAAATTATCTAACTTTCTGTTGGGACTTTACAGATGTTCTATGAAAATTTTCCATATATACACGTATTTTATAGAGAAATTTATAGAAACTAACCTTAAATTCAAAAAGAATTCACAAACTAACCATGAGCTACAGTATCCTGTCTGTAACATGTCGGAATGGCTGTGTAATTACGTATATGTCATTTGTAACACGCTTTTTTTCCGAATTACATGTGATAGCATAATATATCTCTTTTTATCATGTATTTTTCTCGTACTACATGTTATTTATAAAGAACACATAGTATTTCTCGAAAAAAACATTATAGTCAGTGTAATATCTGTCTTTATCATGTTATTTTGTAATAATACGCGTGTTTTATTAAGATCACATGTGATTTCTTTTTCAAAAAGATGATTATTTTTTAGTAATACACGATTTTTTTTAAGATTACATGTGATTTCTTTTTAAAAAGTTACTATTCAGATTAAATTTTCCATGTCAATGTTTTTTCTTAAAATAACACTACGTAACAATATTTTTTCTTAAAAATTCACTATGTTTTTTAAAATATCATGTCTTTTAGTTAAATATAACATGCGAAATTTAAATGTTACATGCTATTTTCAAAAATTTCACGAAACTGTCTTATTTTTTTATATCCAGCGACAAAGTTCTTGTAATTACTATAACTTACAAGGATAATTTCGTATTTATCCTACCCCTACCCCACAAGAAAAAGAGTTAGTTACCAAAAGTTTCTGACGCATGGTTACTTCCTTAATTCATGTGTTTTTTTTTGCTACTTTGTAATATTTCCCTATTTTATATCTATCCCAACAGGCTACACATGCATATTAACATTATAGACATTTGTATATTAGTGAATTATCATTGATCGATGGGACAAAAAAAAGTCAAAAAAAATTATATATGCAGAGCTGGCAGATAGACTTTGATGGATTAGAAGGAGAAGACTTTTATAGAGATTGGTGTTATGTGAAAATTATAAAGAAGAGCAAGTGGGTACATTCTTTTAAGATCAATGACCCATCCTCTTATTTTGTTTCTAATAATTAAGTTGTAGTTATAAACAAACTAAAATCACATATAAAAAACATAGCATTTAAATTATCTTTATCTAAAGTCTGTGTCTTAATCATACTGATATGGGTTGGTACCAAAGAATTAAATAGCAACCATATCATCTAACTCTAACGAGTGGTGATCTTTCTTATACTTTTTTATATGCAATATATATGTACCAATATCAACGTATAGATTGCAATTTATTTTTAATGAACACAGCGAAAGGTTCCATGGATAGGGTAAAGACCCTATAATTACGAAATTACAAAATGAAAAAAAGTAATTACCATTGCAAATTCGTTATTCGTTGGTCTGAAAATATATGAATATAACTAAATTTTCTAAGATTAGTTGAGACTCATGTAAATATACCTAAAACAAAAGAGAAATAGACTTAATTTCTATAATCAATCAAAAATTGAATAAAATTCTAGATCTAAGAAATCTACATTGCATCACGATATATAAACTCTTCAAAGTCGCTGAATAATGTAAGTGTGGAACGTTCTTTACTTCTTTAAGCTATTGACTCGTCATGCTTTTGGATTAATTTGTCAACTCTTTGTTATTTTCTATTTCTTTCTTTATATCTTAAACTTTTCTGATTTATTTATCGTTACTTTTCATGTGCATATAGATACAAAAAACCGCGACTTTGCTTTTGACGTCTCCGACCTCTTCTTTGTTTGACTATTCGAAGATTATAATTTATAAGGTTATTTAGCTCGAAGCATAGAAAGCAAGAAATAATGTTTATTTATTTACTTTGCTCACGACTACTTCCACTATGTGAAGTGAATTATTTGCTTAATTTTGTATAAATTAGTTTAATATTTTCACTTACGATTATTATTAATATACTCGATCGAAAACTCACATGTACTTAGATAAAGCTAATTTTAGAACAAGTGCGATACGTGCTAATTCTGAAACAAATACGTAGCTACGTAATCATATCAGCCGGAGCCAAAACCCTATATTAAATAACTCAATTGTCATTTTAACAGCGATTTGTGATGGACTCCGTCAAAATCACCGGCGGCATCTGTAACATCATATGGTGTCTTAAAATTGTCGGTCCGTGAATACGTATAAAGATATGTCTCTATGTTCCTAGGAAAATATATACATTTATTACATATAAAATTCAACATTTGTGTTATGCGTCAACAATTGATGCTAAAATATACAGTAATTGTTTGACTTCCAGTTATTCCATGCAATAATAGACTTTGGTGTTGCCAAACGAAAGAGTAAAGTTTCTTAATTTGACGGTGAATAGAGTAAAGTTTCTTAATTTATTGTAACTCCAAGTAGCCTGATTTAGATGTAATTAGTATATTTTATACATTTTTTAACTGCATGAATATAAATACAAGTATAAACATTATGTGTATAACTATATATAAGAATGTACAATATACAGATTTAATGTAATGATGATGTACGGAGGAATTGAAGTTGTAGTTAAGAATTGCAGTACAGTATCTTAGAGCACCCTTATCCATGGGCTCTTAGATGAATCTTAGCCAAATCTTAAGCTAAGATTTGTGAAGAAAGAGCTCTTATATAAGAGCTTTTAGGTTTATATTTAAGCTTTTTCTTCACAAATCTTACCTTAAGATTTGGCTAAGAGCCCATGGATAATGGTGGTCTTACTGAGCTTAATTATCTGCAGTCTGCAACGGTAAAAAAATCTACAAATTTTACAGTAATATAAAGGCTTATATTATTAATAATTAATATTGTGAGTCGCTGAACCATTGACGACTTATTTTAATTCTTGCCATTATAGTCAACAAAATTTTATTTTATCCTAACCAAAAAAATAAAAAATATTTTATACTTCTCTTTTGTTGACTTGGTCGCATATTGTCATGGGTTTCATGTTGGTACCGTGAGTGTGTCTATTAAGCCATTTTACAACATAATAATATTTTCTTAAAGTTACTGAATTCTGGTTCTGTTCAAACTTATTTGATAAAGTGGTTAGGAAAAAAAGAAATTAATTTTATTACACTAGATCAAGACACCAATATGCTGTGTTTTTATACAAAATTATAAGATCTCTCAGCCGGTTTACAGTGGATAATCCCGCTATCCGGTGATATTTCCCGGTTTAGCTCCTAAGGACAATAACGTCTTTCACTGTCTATAGTCCCATCTGATATCACCTTCTCAACCAATGGGACGAGTTATGTGCACACAGAGATTGTAGAGCCTACCTACATCTTTCTTTTTTGTATTTTAATTTAAAGTTAGTCAACAAAAGCAACTTCGAGTTAACATGAGAAAGAAACTAGCTCGTGAAACTTAACAATATAGTAGTATTATTTAAAAGCTAATTGTTCATGTTACTATAGATTATTGTTTATATTTATTGACATGATTTGTTTGATTTTGTGAGTCCATTATTTAAATGATTCGTAATAAACTGACTAGATCGGACATGAGATAGATAGTTTTCAGATTTTTCTCATGATCTTAACTAATTACATCTTTTAACAATTGAGTAATGTCGTATACTTTTATATACATAAAATAGGTTTTGACTAAAAGGGTTTGTTATTTGCATAAAATAGAAAATATAGTGGTGATCAAAAAGTATTAACAATCGTATAAAATTGTTCAATATCTTGAATTGTATGTCAAAAACATCTTGGTAATAGTATACTTTTTGCCTTCTTCGAATATTATTCAACTCGAATTGTTTATTAATATTTTTTAATGAAATTGTCTATGAAAATTTGAATTGCATGTGAACTTCATAGACATTGTTATTTGCTGATCACGAACTTTCTTCTACGCCAATGTTTTTCAATTCCCACATTATTAAAGTCCAATCACGATCAGTTGATGTATTAAATTAGTCGTAGAAGATTGCATTATACGTGTATAAAAGTTGGTCTTGTTTGGCTCTAATTGGCGTGGTTTACGTGTGAACAGACACAGACAACTTGACGAATCAAAACGCATAAAACGCGTGACATCTACGTGGCAGAAAGTTTCTATTGCTACAAATAAACCTTTTTATTCTCTTAAAGAAAATAAAATTCCATTGTTCCTTTTTAATAGAAAAAAAGAAGATAAATATCTGATTCATTTAATTACTATTATAATGATTACATTACAACACACCTGCTGCTGCCACGCCTTTTATTCGATAAGATAGATCTTTTTTCAACTTCCCAAATATCTAATAATTCTACAATTAATTTTCTGTACCAACAAAAAATATCTAATAGTAATGCGTTTTGGGCCGCCACTTGTGCCCGAGACGTTGAAACCAAGGAAAGTATTTGTGGTGCTGGTGCAGCTAAATTCCAAATATGAATTTATGGGTTTATTTGTCTTAGTTCTATGTTGAACGCAATATCGTGGTCATTTTCAGAGTTTTGTTTTCTAGCACCGTTGTAAATAAAAATCTTCTGGGCATATTTTTGTTTTCATTAGTATAATTAGAATCTTGAGTGAAACCGATACTAATTGTTGTAGTTTAAGTTGTGTATCTATTAGTCTTGGTCAATAAGGCAAAACTAACCAATACATTTTTTTTTGTCAAAGAAAACTAAACAATCCATACTACTAAGTTACATGAATTGTTCGACAAATTCTTTACTTATAAACTCATTTTGTTTTTCTTTGAAAGTATTATGGTTTTTTTTAATGCCTAACAATGATCATTATCGGCATCTGATTTGTACAAGATAACATAACTTTTATGCATTCTCTAACCCGAGAACTTATCGAGTTATCTCAAACGTCACGAAAGAAAAAGGACGATGAACATAACACATATTATATTATATTATCCATCTGTATATTTAGACATATATTTTAATTCATTAACTAAATCTGTTCATGTGACAGGATTCACCCTGATAAGAAGGAGAGATTCGATCTTGTCACGAATCATTATCTGTCCGAAATTGTTTTTTTTAGCAATATGCAATTATCTTAATAATTTTCTTCTTTATATATAAGTGTCATAAATCTCTTACCTGCTGTAAAAAAAAAAAAATCTCTTACCTTTATCTTTTATTTTATTTTCAAAACATTTTTAATCTTTTTGTGTTATGAACGGAAACTCATACAAAAATAAAAGTTGTAATTGCAACCTTTGAAATTAATGTTATATGAGCAACAAACTTTAGTAATTGTTGGAATGGAACTAACCACGACATTATCCACGCACTTAAAAACATTTTTTCCTCGACATAATATATATCTCTAATACTACTATGTTATAACTAACCACTGAGAGTAACCACAATTTCTTGAAATTTTGTCACAAGTTCTTGCATCTAAGCGATATGTCCACACAAACAATCAAAACATTTGAATATCAGGCAATGTGTAAACAATATTGTTATGACAAGTCAATTTTGTTTCAGTTCCTAATTCCAACAGTGTCGGCCAAATAATACCTGAACCGGCCGGTTTAAAAAGCAATGAATTAATTATGTGATATATTACGTGGCATATCGTTGGTAGATGGGGATTAAGATGGCGCAGCCATGGCCCAAGAGCGATCTTAAGTCATTCTAATTAAAGTAATTAATTTATATTAGTTAATCTCCAACCGAAAGCGCACGTTCTATGTGGCACCAAACATAGATTGTCGTTTAAAACATTATCATATATATATCCTAACGATAATGACAATGGCTATAAACTAATCGAAAAATATTTCTATGTAGATATATAAACACTCGCTTAAGAGTTTATTTACTTTAAAAATTAGAAATAACGTTTTGATGATTCGATGATTTACTTTTATTTAACCAAAAAGAATGTTCCTAAATGCATCACCAACGAAAAGTTACATATATTGTTGACTAATCTAGTAAGATTATGATGTGGATCAAATCTTAATGAGGCTATATAAAGAGCCATAATTGTTAACCGATAAGTCGATAACCACTTGACATCATCGAAAGTTCGGTTAGTGGAATAATAAAAGATTAGATGGTAGCAATCGAATTTTCACGTTTCTCTATTATTGTCACTCAGTGATGTAATTCATGATAAGAGTCATAAGACAACGTATTTATTTATAAAGTTATCAACTACATTGTCGATCACTCAATAATGTATTTTAATTTTCTTATAGACGAAAATTTATAATCCATACAAAACGATTCATTTATTCGTAATTTTGGAGACTATATGTCTATATCCATAACCTACAAACTTACAGTAGTTCTATATAAACTCTAATGTTCTGATACTCAGTATCAAAAGCATTCATCTATTTATACAAACACGTTTTTCTCGAGGCTCATGTAATTACTAAACCAGTACTCTTGTCTTGTTTTCTGAGTTAGCTGAATATTGAATACCCAAGCAAGATAAAATAAAATAACTTGAGACAGCCTAAGAAATGGTATCGTTGAGTTGGATACAGGTAGGAATCCGAATAAATAATAATTATCTTTGAAATGCATGAGCTAGATGGAGAAAATTATTATTTTATAATACTAAAGTTACTACTCCAGCCAAAAAAAGAAGAAGAGCTGTACAGTATTAGTTTATTACCTTTGAGCTGTACAGTCAAATTTTAATTTTAATTGGCTTGCAATGTAAATATTAATTACTTTTATATGTAATTCATAAAAGCTCATAATCATGCTTCCTCTCTCTCAATTTATTTGTACTTAAAAATTTTCGCAAACAGATTAAAAAATCACAATTGTGATTCAATCAATACAAAAAAATACTAAAACAATATTTATTTTGCAACAAAGTTTTTATATTAAACTATTAATAAATCATAACAAAGAAAATAGAAAAATAAAATATTAATTTATTGCTTTCGTACTAGCATTAATTAAATCATCAGTGTGTGTTTTTAATTTCAAAATTAGGAACATACGAATCCATGAAAAGTTACTTCAACACATTCAATGTGAAGCTATGAGGTCAAGAATATCCCAACGCATTATAATCTATACTAAGACAAGTCGAGTTTTTTTGGTTTTTTTTTTTTTGTCGTCTTGAATAATAATGCAAAAGGGAACATAGTTGTAAGAATGAAAGAAACAGAACATCAACGAAAAACAGAGGAAACAAAACAGAAGCCGATGACAAAACTAAAATCTACCTCTTCGTTCTTCTTCAATCCGGTTATGTAACCATGCCGGACCTCCTCGTGCTAGGTAAGAAGTAAACCGTCCTTCTCGTGTCACACTACAAGCAATCTCCTTGGCCAAAGAATTGGCTTTCGGTGAAGAGAGGTGGAAATTTACCTCCCGCATCACCCGAGTTTTTTTGGTTAAGAAAGAAAAACATTTCCAAAAAAAAACATTTTTTTTTTTTGTCGCAATTTGATCGATATATCGTGTGCTACGTTGACAAAAATAGGGACTAATGGAAAATTATTTTACCGACAAGAAAATAAATAAAATATATTAACGAAATGACGAGCTAAATACGCCAAAGGACCAAGTTGAGGAGAAATGGGGTCCACCTGAGGACCAATAACAACTCGTCCGTACTAATAATATCTATTTATACCTATGTTGGATGTTTCAAATTTTTTTAAGCATCATAAATCAGATACTTTTTCTTTTAGCACTGTTATTGTTTCTCTATAAATCACACGTATCCAACGTCTTTTACCTATTTTTTTTCTTTTGATATATTCCATACATTTCACAAAGAATGCCGTTTTTTTATTTTAATTTTGTTCACAAAAAATTGTAATTTTGTGTTTTCATTATAATTTTTAAGACCAAATCTCTTTTTTTATCCATACTATTTTAGCTTATTAATTAGAGGGAAGTTATTATCTAGTGTATTAATAAAGGTAAAATGAAATTTGTTTACTTTTCTTAATTTGTATGAAAATGATAGAATGATACTATTTATAAAATAGAGGGACTATCAATTATAGTTTTCTTATAAAGGGTTAAAAATATTATAAAGTTCTGTCACTCTTTTCCATATAACAATTTTTTTTTAACTAGCTTTGTAATATCTTAACATATGCAATGCAATGCTATAAATTCCAAACAAAAATATACAGAACATATAGAAGAAACTAACTTACTATACTCTGATATGATAAAATGAAAAATATAAATTAATGAAATCTTGCCGGTGAAAATGTCTCTCTTTTATTTGCATAGATTACACTACATTAATAAATAATGTATCATTTTCAAAACCAAATTTTCAATTTTGGAGCTCAAATACTTAGAATCATAACAAGAAACATAGATGAGCCCAATCTCTCTTACGGAGACAAATTCCATGAGAGAAGAAAACTAAGTGAGGAACAAGTGCCACGTGACAACATACTCAATTTTTTAATGGAAAGTTCAACCACTTCGTATGTTTTTTTTTTTTTTGGTCCCATACATGATACATACCCATATACCTAGAACCATTTACAATTTGTATACATAGAAAAATAGGATCAAATTTGAAATTTTAACTGAATTAACTAAATATTGATCAATAATATTATTTCTTGGTATCCGACCTATCGGTTTAGATGGCCGATTAACTTATATACTTATATAATACTAGTATCTTTTAATGAAAGATATGCTGTAAAACTTTACAAAAAATAGCTTACACAAATTAGTGCCTAGATATAGCCACCGAGTTAAATTTTGAGCAATTTTAACTGAAAAAAATGAAACTAAAAAACGAAAAAAAGAAGACAAAAGTAATTGTCCTGCTGTCAAGAAATGCCCATATTATTATTCATCCACACAAGACACGTACGACCATGCCTCTTAGTGATTTGTCATTGGCCCACTTCCCATCCTAGTGGATCAAATTGATAATAAATACTATTATAAATACCAAGAATTCAAATAGAAACCGGCAAATCAATTAATAGATTTAAAACTTAAAAAGGATATATAAACCGTCAATATTTTCTATTGGAGCAGGGAGAGCCAATAAAATTCGGATCTCACGATATTATGCAGTTCTCTAATTGGTTCTTTGCATAAAAACTGAAACTTAACTAATGGTAGAAGAATACTTTCGCAAAGCAACAAACATATCAGATAAGATCGTAAGCTATCCACATCACTTGTTAATTGTCCTCAAACCATATTATATAATGCATACGAATTTATGGTGTTAAATCCTTACGTATTTATTCTCTATTAAGAGTAAAACAAACTAATGAAGGCATCGGATTTAATTAGATTTATATTCACCAGTAGAAATACTTGTGATGTTGTCGGTCGTTGGCTAAGTATTTCTTATAAATATATAAGAAATATTTGCAATTAAAATCGTTTTACATCACATACACTCACTTATGAGAAACAAATATAATAAAATGGGATAATTACAAGAACAACAAAAGAGAGAGAGATTCCAAATTCATAAAACTATCGAGCTTCTTCTTTTCTATATATATACGGAGAATAATCCTCATAGCAATACACATTTTTTTTATAAAAAGAAACATAGGATAAGATTGAAGAAAGAAGAATAAAAACGTTTGGAAATGAAAAATAAATCCTACGACAGAAAAAAACTAAAAAGAAGATATAAATCATGACTAAATAACTGTTTATATATATATTTTTAAAATCATATCATTAACGAAGAATAACAATCAGATTTGGAGTGGATTTTTTTTTTAAAAAAGACACAACATTGAGCATCAGTAGGATCTTAACATGGTTATCAGATCTAATAATTTGTATATGTATATTTTTTTCATATAGTTATTATCGTTACTTTAGTATTATAGTGATTTAAATTTAAGCATCAAAACTCAGGGGGGATGAACTTCACTAAAATGATGTCAATATCTCACGTGGACCCTTTATCCAATCCCTGGCCCACACATGGGTCCCACTTCCCCATGCACACAGCCCACAACATATTCATTTCTACTCCATATTTGTTCCTATACTCTTTTTTTTGTTACATAAATAATAAAATACTAACTTATAAGGAATAGTAAGATTATTATTGCTTCATGTGTTTTCTTCTATAAGTAACATCAACAGTTCATGAAATAGACCCTAATATAGTAACCTAAATTAAATGCCGTATATTTCAATATGTTTCCACGAAGCTTCCTTTGTGTTTTTTGAGTTGACCCATTACACACACCCATATTACTTCCCATACACCTGCCCATATACTATAATGACTCCCCTCAAACACGCATTCTTACAAATATATTTTTGTTATTACAAAAAAAAAGTGAAAATAAAATAATAATATCAGAAGTGACACTTGCTGTTTCTTAATTTCCCTCCCCTCAAGCTCTCTCTCCTTCTTTCTATATATATTATACACACACACGTATACACATATACACAACACAACACAAACACATTTCTGATTTCTCCATTGTTTCAAAAACATAAAAAAAAAAAAAACTCAGATTAAATGGAAGTGAGTAGCGTAGACGAGAGTACTACAAGTACAGGTTCCATCTGTGAAACTCCGACGATAACTCCGGCGAAAAAGTCGTCGGTAGGTAACTTATACAGGATGGGAAGCGGATCAAGCGTGGTGTTAGATTCAGAGAACGGCGTAGAAGCTGAATCTAGGAAGCTTCCGTCGTCGAAATACAAAGGTGTGGTGCCGCAACCAAACGGAAGATGGGGAGCTCAGATTTACGAGAAACACCAGCGCGTGTGGCTCGGTACATTCAACGAAGAAGACGAAGCTGCTCGTGCCTACGACGTGGCGGTTCACCGGTTCCGTGGTCGTGACGCCGTCACAAATTTTAAAGACGTGAGGATGGACGAAGATGAGGTCGAGTTCTTGAATTCTCATTCGAAATCTGAGATCGTTGATATGTTGAGGAAACATACTTATAACGAAGAGTTAGAGCAGAGTAAACGGCGTCGTAACGGTAACGGAAACATGGTTAGGACGATGTTAACGTCCGGGTTGAATAATGATGGTGTTTCGACGACGGAGTTTAGATCGGCGGAGGCACTGTTTGAGAAAGCGGTAACGCCAAGCGACGTTGGGAAGCTAAACCGTTTGGTTATACCGAAACATCACGCGGAGAAACATTTTCCGTTACCGTCAAGTAACGTTTCCGTGAAAGGAGTGTTGTTGAACTTTGAGGATGTTAACGGGAAAGTGTGGAGGTTCCGTTACTCGTATTGGAACAGTAGTCAGAGTTATGTTTTGACTAAAGGTTGGAGCAGGTTCGTTAAGGAGAAGAATCTACGTGCTGGTGACGTGGTAAGTTTCAGTAGATCTAACGGTCAGGATCAACAGTTGTACATTGGGTGGAAGTCGAGATCCGGGTCGGATTTAGAAACGGGTCGGGTTTTGAGATTGTTCGGAGTTAACATTTCACCGGAGAGTTCGAGAAACGACGTCGTAGGGAACAAGAGAGTGAAGGATACTGAGATGTTATCGTTGGTGTGTAGTAAGAAGCAACGCATCTTTCACGCCTCGTAACAACTCTTCTTCTTTTTTTTTCTTTTGTTGTTTTAATAAAAACAAATATAATTCCACTTTCGTTTTCTTTATCTGCATCGGTTTCTTCTTCTTTTATACCCAAGGTTCATGAGTTGTTTTTGCTGTATTGATGAACTGTAAATTTTATTTATAGGATAAATTAAAAAGGGTTGTACTTAGAGTGTCTCAAGAGTTTTATAAGCATGAGATGATGAGAATGTTTTTACCAAATCTTACCTTGTTTCTTTTCATTTTATGTGTATGGGAACTCGTATTTATATGTACGCATTACTGCTTATGGTATTTGCTGCGTTTTGTATGAACATTTGGAGAGTTATTGGAACGTAATTTTACAGAAAAAAAACTCCAACAAAAGAAGAACAGTTTGCAGGGTCTGAGACGTATAACCATATGATATGATAGACCATACTCCGATCCAAATAATCAAAAAGAAAGATATTAAAAAAAAAAAACCAATGCTATAATTTAAGCTTTTGTAAGATATTATTTTAAGCTTCAGAAGATATTTTTGGTAGAGAGATTCATGTTGCTGTTAAATAATATATATCTATCTTTAATTTCTATAAATCTACTACTTTTTTTTTTTGAAAAAGAAAATCTACTACTTTTTCCGCTTAACAAGTACTCAATATAGATATTTTGTTTGATAAAAAAAAGATATTTGTTTCTAAAAGTGTTTTTTTTTGAAAAAAAGTGTTTAATTAAGTTTTCTTTCTTTCTCTGGTTGCGATTATGCGTATCTTTAGATTCTCTACAAACTAAGGTATAGCTATAATTTCGAACGAAAATGAATCGTTAAAACGATTAACATTAAAACTTTTTCAATATCTTACGAAGCGAAATGGTATACTATATCTATATGATATGAGTTAGAGTTTGAACATATGATGATAATGGTACACCTGCGGCATACATTAGTTATAGAATGTACCTACATAAAGGAATATATTGACCATTGATCTTAAGAATGTTCCGTTCATATGCACTTTTTTTTTCAATACAATTCGGCGGACGATAACATTGTTCCATTATAGCATAAAATCCTATTATACAATTAAAAATGCCCACGCAATCTTACTTATGGTTTTGTCTAAGACACATCCACACATAATTCAAGTACTAATACATCAGTAGGATTACTGTATTAGTGAAAATTACAAGGGCTAGAATACCTAACCACCATCAAATAATCCTTATTATTTCATCCATATTTTCTTTTATTTTTGTGGATCCATTTAGATATAGAAATCTAAAAATTTCTATAATACGGGAAATTTTTTAAAAAGCACGATCATCATTTAGCAAAACACAAATTTAATCATATAGTTACTAATTTAATATTATATATTCTTTTAATTACAAGATGCCAAGAACCATAATTCTAATAAAATAGATATATGAACATAACAATGTCTTAAAAATAATATGTGCGATAAAAAATTTATTCACATTTCGCGTAAGAAAATACGATTTTTAAATAAAATGTTTCACAAGAAAATCTATTTTAGGTTCTCACCAGAAAAAAAAAAAAAAATCTATTCAGGTATCTTTTCATAATTCAAAACTTCAAGAAAATCCTATTTTCATAAAAACCCCATATGGCCTAAAGTAGCCCATGTTTGATCAAATCATATACAGGCCAAATGGGCTTAAGTCCATTAGTAAATTGTGTCGATTAAAAATATCGAGAAACATTTTTTTTTTTTATAATATCAAGAAACGTTGAAATTTATCGATTCGCTGAGAAATTTTGATATTTTGGGTTTAGCAGTGAAGTTTGCGAAAATGGCGTCTTCAGTTTTTCTATCCAGTTTCTCGTCATCGTCTTCTTTGCAACTTTCTTCATCCTTTAACGGCGACTACTTAGCGCCGTCGAGATGCTTTATCGGAGCTCCGGTCACTTCCTCTTCTTTATCACTCTCCGGTTTGTCATTTTACTTGGCTCTGTTTCTTCGTTTCCTCTGTTCGTTATTCAAAGCTTTCTATGGATTCTAGCTTCGTTTTTATTGGAAGATAATGAAATTATTGGTTATCTGATTGGAAATTTTGAAACTTTGAATGTTGTATAATTGAAGAACTTGGTGTATGAAGTTTATCTTCTCTTATATCTGCAGGTAAGAAGAACTCATATTCTCCGAGAAAATTCTACATTTCTGCTAAGAAAGTTTCTGGGTTAGAGGAAGCCATTAGAATCAGAAAGTAATTAACTTTGTTCAACTCTCTTGTATCAAAAAAATGCAATCTTGATTAGATTCAAGATTTTTTTTTCATTTCTTGGTGATAGAGCTATTAATATATTAGTTTGATTTTACATTTTTTTAGAATGAGAGAGCTTGAAACTAAATCAAAAGTTAGGAGAAATCCACCATTAAGACGAGGAAGAGTATCGCCTCGTCTTCTTGTACCTGATCACATTCCAAGGCCTCCATATGTTGAGTCTGGTGTATTACCAGATATATCAAGTGAGTTTCAGATTCCTGGTCCTGAAGGCATTGCGAAAATGAGAGCTGCTTGCGAGCTCGCTGCTCGGGTTTTAAACTATGCTGGAACTTTGGTTAAGGTGAGATTTTAGGTTCCTTGTGGATCTCCTGTTTTCTATATTATGCATATATGGTCTGAGTTGTTGTTTATATGATTCTTGCAGCCATCTGTTACGACTAATGAAATCGACAAAGCTGTGCATGATATGATTATTGAAGCTGGTGCTTACCCTTCTCCTCTTGGATATGGTGGATTTCCTAAAAGTGTGTGTACATCAGTTAATGAGTGTATGTGTCACGGAATACCGGATTCTCGCCAGCTACAGGTCCTTAAGTGTGCTTTTTACTGTTTTAAGCCGACTGGCTTTTGTAGGAATTCATATGTTTTATCACTAACTATTACCTCTTAATGCAGAGCGGGGATATAATAAACATCGATGTCACGGTTTACTTGGATGTAAGTCTTTTAGGCTTCTTTCGTTAATCTGTAGACATTTTAACTTTCATTTTTGTTGGATCTTTAGATACAATTTGAAACATCATGTATACACTAAATTATATAACACTTTTGGGGGGTTTGAAACTTCAACAGGGTTACCATGGAGATACATCGAAAACTTTCTTTTGCGGAGAAGTTGACGAAGGTTTCAAACGACTTGTGAAGGTAGTATTCTTCTTCTTCACTGTGTTTTCTCTTCAAGTTCATGGATTCTGTTTTAATATCGTAGTTGTTGTTGGTTTATTGTTCTGTAAGGTTACGGAAGAATGCTTGGAGAAAGGTATTGCCGTTTGTAAAGATGGAGCAAGCTTCAAGAAAATCGGGAAAAGAATCAGGTAGCAACCTAAACTATTCTTGATTCAATATAACTGTGCAAAAATGTATTATTTGAGGACATTAGACAATGCCGCTAGACCAAACAATCTCAATGGTTTCAATTTCTAACAGTGAGCATGCGGAAAAGTATGGCTACAACGTTGTGGAGCGGTTTGTTGGGCATGGTGTTGGACCTATATTCCACTCCGAACCCCTTATATATCATTACCGTAAGTAATCTCTTTCTTAGCAAAATCGCTCTTATGTTAGGAAAACACTTCAGCTTTTCTGAATCTATAATGTAACCTGAAAGCATCAATCAACAACAATAGTTGGCGGCATATGCATATGGCATCATGATTGTCTTTCGTCAAGAATCCGTCTTTGGTGCCTCATTTTCTATCCAATTTGCAGGAAATGATGAGCCTGGACTTATGGTTGAGGGACAAACTTTCACAATTGGTTAGCTATTTTTCCCCCTTACATGTCATGGTTTTCATTTGCTTATGATTGATTGATTACTATATACTATGAATACATTCTGTTGCAGAACCGATTCTGACGATTGGAACCACGGAATGTGTAACATGGCCAGACAACTGGACTACTCTGACAGCAGATGGTGGTGTTGCTGCGCAGTTTGAGCATACCATTCTGATTACTAGAACTGGTTCAGAGATTCTTACCAAATGCTAAAACTATTCACATTGATCATTTCCATTTCACCTTAATTTTGATTGCTGCTCCTTTAAGGTCCATAGTATAAATTCATTATCTTTGAGACCATAGTCTTAACAATTCGTGTTAGTGCCATCGTTTAAGATCTCAAGATTAGTTTTGCTATAAAAATTTCCCCACATGTTCCCTCAAGTCTTTCTTTATCCCATGAATTCCCATTTCACAACAATTATACGTGACTCTCTTTTTTCTGTCTTTTTGTGTTTAATTTTCTAGTCATTATAGATTATTTCTTGTTGAGAGTTGAAGCTGAGACCCACTTTCCCATATTTACGCACATGCCTCATCATCATTGATCATCACGATCCAAAATGCATAGTACATAAAGTATCCATTAAAACGAAGATCTAGTCTCTTCACAACACAACACTTCAAGTCTTCAACTAATATCGCAAATATCAGTTTCTCTTTGTATAAGTGTTTATTACATTAAAGTAAACCAACTCAGGCAAGTCTATGATCATGGCTTCTTCTGCTGCTGCATCGATCTCTTTGATAACTCTAAGGAACCTCTCTCGCAATCATCAATCTCACCAAAGCTCTCTTCTTGGTTTCGCTAGATCCTTCCACAACTTAAGGATCTCATCTAACGGTCCAGATTTCTCTGCACAAGCAAGATCCACCACTTCCTCCACTAGAGGTTTCTTCAGAACCATTTGCAGCAGCAGCACCAGCGACAACTCCAGACCAAGTAAGTAAAATATATGATCCAATCAAATTGCCCTTTTATGCTAAGCAAATTAGCATCAAATTTGGTATAAGAACAAAAAAAGAATCGACCTTTGAGCTCAAAATCAAGTACCCATTACACAAAAACTGATTTTTTTATCTTGTGAAAAATCTCAGCTAAGATCCAAGAGCTTAACGTGTACGAGTTCAACGAAGGTGATCGAAACAGTCCAGCGGTTTTAAAACTCGGAAAAAAACCAGATCAGCTTTGTCTCGGCGATCTTGTCCCCTTCACAAACAAACTCTACACCGGAGATCTTACAAAACGCATAGGAATCACCGCAGGTCTCTGCGTTTTGATCCAACATGTTCCAGAGAAGAAAGGTGATCGCTTTGAAGCTTCTTACAGTTTCTACTTCGGAGATTACGGTCACATATCAGTACAAGGACCTTATCTCACTTACGAGGACACGTTTCTCGCTATCACCGGTGGCTCCGGCGTCTTTGAAGGAGCTTACGGACAGGTTAAGCTTCGTCAGCTTGTGTATCCAACGAAGTTGTTTTACACTTTTTACTTGAAAGGTGTTGTTGCTGATTTGCCGGTGGAGCTTACCGGAAAACATGTTGAGCCGTCGAAGGATGTGAAACCGGCGGCGGAAGCTCAGGCGACTCAGCCCGGCGCTACGATCGCTAACTTTACTAATTGAAATCGAATCATTGTGTGTTGTGTTTCTTTGTCATCGATCCTTTATTGGGCTGTTTCATTGTGTTAAACATTTTAATAATGGGCCTAAATAGTGAGCCTTTTTATTGGGCTTTTTAATGTGTACTATAGAGCCGATTCTCGTAATGCGTAATGTCCCTACAAAGCTGGATTTAAGCGCGTGAACTCCACCTTCCATGGAAACTTTCTATATTTGGAAAGTTTGGCTTATTAGGCTCGTGGCCATGTTTGAGCTCAAGCTCATAAACGAATCTTTTCTTTATGTATTTCACAGAATGCTTTATTTTGTATTTTTCATGATCTGAATCTATTTTAAACATAGTAATGTATCTCTGGTATACAATTCAGTTTTTGTATATCATAAGGAAAATTATATATTTGCTAGACGAGATTAGTTTTGATCTCTCACAATTGTTATTCTGTTGAAAAAATAAAAAATAATTTAATAGTAGAATATATTAGTATGTACTTGTTTGCATATTTCTTTCCATAGACTTTGGTCATAAACTTATACTTTAATGAAGTCATGTTGAATGGAGTATCAGTCCAACACTCCAATATTCATCAGTTTGCAATTTCCAAAACGACATTTATTACTCCCGTACCTTCGAGGACCAAATTATTCAAAGTTTGAAACGAAATTTTTTACTCGATATTTTCTTTTTTATTCGAATCGAGATATATGAAGTATGACAAGTAGTCTGACAATTTAACTATTTAGCTATCTTAGCTCACGTATATCGTTTTGGTTATATAGTCTTATAGAGATTCGAAATTTATGCTTCCTCTAATTATAATAAAAGCTGTTATGCGGTTTTGGTTTTATCATATACATACAACATGTTATCATGAATTTTATCAAAAACAAAGAAAAAAACAGTTATCATGACTTTCTGCAAAAATAAAATTTCGACAATTATCCTTTTTTCTTGCATATCTATGAATTAATTTTCTTGCATCTTAACTTATAAATGAAATACTAAAGAAATAAAAGAAAAATGAGTAAAAAGTAGAGAGATAGAGAGAGTGGCAGAGAAACTGAAGTAACCTAAGAGTCGTGAAATTTCTCTCTCCAAGTGTAAGATAGACAAATGTGTGTAACGTTAGACATCACTACATAAAGTGACAACAGACAGTTTCTGTCTTTGGATAAATCGAACTGCCACTTTCGACACTTTAATTACCATTATATTTTACCTCCATTATTTATCACCAGAGATGCGCTCTTTAGGAGTATTCAATCTTCACTACATCATTTTTCTTTTCTTAAAATTTGTATTATATCTTTCTTTTCCTAGACCTGTAGTTTAAGCGATTTTTTTGTCCTTGTGTGAATTCCACCATGCTTAAGACTTAAATGTGTGTATGTGAGTTTGTGAGTGTGAGTGTGTGTTAATGATGATATTTGGTCTACATCAAGGATGGTAATTTCAAGGCTAGATAATTGATCTTCATCAGTTCATTAAAAGCATATTTTCGTCGGACCTTTGATCTTAGATGTCTTGGTTACCAAACAAAAAATCTATTAAACTATACAACCAGTTGATTATTATTTATTTTATTTTTTGGGGTCAGAAGATTTACCAGAAATGCAGAAATTGTTTGTTGGAGACAACATTAGAAGCACTTATATAATCCAAAGCCACACCACTACATATATTTTCGGAACTCATAATAAAAAGGTTGCTTTTAAATTCACTAGCTAACGTGACGAAGAGGTAAATTACATATCAAGCATACCTCACTTGCATAAACCCTAATAACACCCATCGATCATAAATATGACCCATTTATTTAGTAATTGTCATCAGAAATCTGACCATAACGACGAAAGTGATCATATCTAATCCCATAGTTCTTCTCTCCACGAACATTTTCTTCGTGAGCATCTTCTTCTTCTTCATCATCATCTTCTTCCTCTTCTTCCTCCTCCTCATCATCTTCATCTGCGTCTCCAATGGCTACAACACGATCACCCACAGTGTGAGCCGCATGACCATCACCGAAAGCCCTAACGTGATCCTTAAGTGACCTCTTATGCTTAAAATCGGACCCACAAACGCAAAACCATAACTTCCCACAATTTTTCTCATGCGTTCTCCAATCGCCTCTCACCGCAAACGTTTTTTCACACTTCTTGCGGCAACGAAAAGGTTTTGCTCCGTGCTTCCGCTTGTAATGCGTTTGGAGCGTTCTAAAGTCTTTGAGAGGCTTTGATCTTGGATGGTCTATGTTGTTCTTACAACCTTCAGCACAACAATAACATGGCAGCCTTAGTATCGAAGATGACGATTTCGTCCCGCGGAGCGATTCTGGACCTTTTCGGTATTGCGAACCATGACCCCACATATGCATCTGCAAAAGAAAAGATGTGATTGAATAAAACACTTGGTCATCTCATTTTTCACGTTAAATTTACATATCATGAACATTTTACTTAATTTTGAACGTGACTGCAAGATTATATCTATATTCTTGAAGATTTTTATTTTTATTTTTTGATAATATATATTTATCATAGTACTAATGCAGATAATAAGAGAACTTTTTCGATTGATACCCATGAAAACGCAAAAGGTTATAGATTGGAAGTTAATTCCACGGATTTTTAATTTCTTTGTTTGATACTTTAATTCAAAAACACTTTTCTATAACGATTCTAAATCAGCTTGCAACATATATTATAGTAAATATGTAGATGATATCATAATAACTAACGTGAAAGTAAAGGGAAATTTAAATCAAGAAAACTTCCTGTAAATCATTTCAAACCTGCATGTTGTTGAAGCGGTTGAAAGTTTTGTTACAGACAGAACAAGAGAACTGAGTGGGACCAACAAGGATCTGAGAAAGCGAAGGGATCCAATACTGTCCCTGCCTCGCCGTTAAACCCTCTTGGTTGTTCCCGCCGGTAAGGGTTTCTTTGTCGGAACTCGGAGGACCGATATGAAGAGCAACGGTGACGCCATTAGGGTTTGTTAATGGGTGATTAAACTCATGATCAGAAGAAGGTTTAGTACTGGTGGGTTTGATATGGCTAGGGTATGGTTGGCCAGGAGGTCCAAGTCTGAGGACGACGGAGTCTTCGTCACCGGAGAAGCTATATTGGTTATTATTATACATTGAGTAGAGAGAAAGAGAGATGAGAGAGAGATATGGGGTTTTGAGGAAATGGTGGAGAAAGACAATGGAGGCTGGACGAACTGGTAACTAATAAATGATTCTTTTTATTTTGTACTTGCTTTAGCTTTTTTTCCTCCTCGTAAATTTACGTGTTACGAGTGACAAGCCCATGTTTGGTTCCAAATATCTATACATCTATTCACTTTTTACAAATTATATTTATACATTATTTAGTTGCAGTGTTTGGATGCTACTTAGCTTTAACTTCTACATTTTTTTATCTTTGGATATGAATCGAGATTAATATTCTGATAGTCTTCATTGATGTTTTTCTTAACATACAAAGAATAGATTACAATGTATAGACTATAGTATAGATTTCAGAATAATATATTTATTGATAACCAAAACTTATATACAAACCTTTTCATTGATACTAGTTTCTATTTTTTATATGAACGTATACCTTCGCAATGTAATTCATATTAAGAAACTTTTGATTCTTTATCATATTTTACAAGATCAATAACTAATTTTTTTTTGTCAGCAGATAGATTTTTTTTTAAATATATATATTTTTAATTAAAAGGGGCTACATATTTAACTTATGAAAGAAAAACAAAAACTATACATTAAAAAGTTGACGTGGGCATCTCTCAATATTAGCAAAGAATGTACTATTTACTTGGAACTCGCTCTCCTTTCTAGGATCTCAAAACCATTCTTTGTTTCATGATTTCTCTCTTTCAATTTCTTATAATATATTGTATAATTTCGAGTCTGTATTTATATCTGAGTTATCATTTACTCTTCTCACAAACCAAAATAAAAGGTGAGAGTACACTCTGATACAAAAGAAAAGCAATAGACATAGAGAAACGTGGCGTTAACTGTAGATGCGAAAGCTTCTCTTTCTCTCCACTTTCATCATCTGAGTTCTGAACAACTTACTGAGATAGTGATAGTCTCAGTGATGATGATATTATTAAAGTTCCCTTTTTATTTTTTTTCCTAAATCTTTGCTGCCAAAAGTTACCCTAATATATTCTCAGACTTTTTACTTTAGTTTAAAATCTAAGGAAAGTGGGGAAGTTTGCTTATTTGCTAGTTAATAGAATTGGAATGTAAAGTTGGAAGAAAAGTGTACATTTTGTTTTGCTATAATACTACAACTAATGCTGAAGGCATGTGGTTTTAGGTTTCTCTTTGAAAGAGGTTTCCGGTTTTTTGAGTCTCGATTAGTTAAAGCTCTTAAATTTTAAAAATAGAAATCATATGCTGCGATCAAAGATACGTTTCTGAAAACATTTGACCGGCTTTCCTATATCATTAAAAATTTGAATATTTTAGGTCAAGTTCGATGAGATTTTGGATATCAGAAAACGTATAGGTTTCTCTTTTCCAAATTCGGTTTTAAATTTCCAGTTTTGCTGTTAACATTTAAATAGAAATTATATGTTTGACATAAAAGTAGGTTGATCCTATCAAACATAAAATACCCATAGGTTTGTTTATATTGGCACATTGCATGTTGTCAAATTATTAACAAAAATGGGTTGTTAGGTAGGTCATATGCAACAAGTTTTTGGATTTTAGACTATTTATTAGACATTAAAAAAAATATAATGCTAAATTAACCAGACTTGCATCAAAAATTTGATTTTGGAAAATCATGGATTAAATCGAATAACTTTTGGACCCTTTTTGTTTTATTTTTCCAGTATTTGCCTTCTAAAATTGTTGTGATATTAGAAATTTGTTAATTTTTCGAATTATGCTACTAGAACGAAACATTTGGATTAATTGCAACCATTTTATGCTGTTTTTTGGCTTTTGCTACATGAATGAATAAGATTAGATTAATATAGTCATGAACTGTAGGTGACTGCTCAAACAGAATCTTCGAGCCTCGAGTGTTGGTTTATAATAGTCCACGAGGCTTTGAACCGAGGT